AAAATCATACAATGTGATTTCCTGAAATTTTTTTTAAATTCTGTCTCTCAGAGTGGGAATGCACCTACAATGTGAATTTCAGACCCCTCCATGATTTCTAAGTGGGAGAACTTGCAAAATCGCAGGGTGTTCAAATACTTCTGTTCCTCACTGTACATCGTGTAACCCACCTCAATGTGAACATGAACCCAGCACTTTAAGCAGCACAATAGCCATAATCAAACTTAACAAATGACGTCAGTAAAACATACCAGAGGTGGGAAGAGACGAAGTACAAATACTTCGTTACTGTACTTACCGTATTTTCCGCACTATATGGCGCACCTAAGGGCCTTAAATTTTCTCAAAAATCGGCCGTGCGCCTGATAATCCGGTGCGCCTTATGTGTGCACTGAGTTCCAAAATCTGTAAAAATGTTGTTGTGCGACTTTGGTAAGCGTTCCGCTTGATTGACTGTCGGACCATTTCCCGCTGACACAGGGACGTATTACGTACTGGCAGCGATAAACCAGTCTACACCGGTCTAAGGACCCCCGAAAATGGCACCAGTGAAGAGACGTGCTTACGAGGCACAATTTAAACTTAAGGCTATCAGTTATGCGGTTGTAAATGGGAATAGAGCAGCTGCGAAAGAATTCAAAATCAGTGAATCTATGGTTCGGAATTGGAGGAAGCAAGAAAATGAACTGCGCCAAGTTAAAAAGACGAAACAGAGTTTCCGCGGGAACAAAGCGAGGTGGCCACAGTTAGAAGACCAACTTGAACAATGGATTATTGAACAAAGAACAGCCGGGAGAAGCGTCTCTACAGTCACCATTCGACTGAAGGCAACAACGATAGCACAAGACATGAAGATCGAACACTTTCAAGGAGGTCCGTCTTGGTGCTTTCGTTTTATGAAAAGGCGTCATCTCTCCATCCGCGCAAAGACTACCGTGGCGCAGCAACTGCCAGCGGATTACAAAGAAAAGATGGCCATCAAGATTACCGACAAAAAGATCCAGCCCGACCACATCACCAACATGGACGAGGTCCCCCTCACTTTTGACATCCCCGTGAACCATATTGTGGAGAAAAAGGGGACCAGCATGGTATCGATACGCACCACGGGGCATGAGAAGTCGGCTTTCACTGTTGTTCAAGGTACGTAGATTTTTCAGGTTTCTACGTGCGTAATTATTTTTAACATAAATATCTGTACTTTCTACTTACATTTCCACGTGGGGCTCGTTACTTTTCGCTTTAGTACATTGCAGGTAATTATCGATGATTTTTATTTACCACTTATTGCAAAATATGCACATTTCACTGGGCAACATGGGTAGTGTTTACAGACCAATCGCTGAGCTCGCACGCATGCGCAGTTGAGTTACCTCAGACTCTAGTTATGGTTGTGTTATGGTTGTCATGGTGCATTGGATTTGTCTTTTTACATTTTTCCCATTACACCACAAATGACAAATGACTTTTTTACAACAGGTCTGAAAGCTCCCTCTAAATTCACCAGACACCCTCCCTTAAGAGCCACAAGCAGCAGGGTGTTTTAGCTGGCCCAGCAGGCCTGCCACCAGACAAGTGGACACTCTTATTAGAAGTTAACTCAAGCACGCACACATTGCACCACCACTGCAGTGGATTCATTAATTTAGAAATTACAGTCTGATTGAAATGTTCAGAAAAATATCTGCAAAAAGTCAGAATCAACCAACATATTGCTGAAAACGAGACACTAAAGAAACAACCTTTTTTTTGGTAGAAGAACAAAATATAAGCAATTGAAACAAGGTTATGTCTTTGCTATGAATAATGTGTAAATGTTGTGTATTTGCCCTACTGTAATATATCTAATGCTGTATAGTAAAAACCGTATTCTAATGCAGAAACATCCCCAAAAGGCTCTTGTTTTCTATATTATTTCCATCATATCTATTTTGTTAACCAGAACATCAAAAGAAACAGGAAACATGTTCCATGAAGGGGACAGTCAGTAACAGTATTCCATCTCTGACTGGTTATTCTTTTATTTTTCAGGTTTGGATCTCAACCATGAAGAATTCTTTGAGGATGCTTCCTTTCTCCAAAATGCTTCAAATCAGAACTATGTCCCAGATGCAGTGTTGCCACCTGGGGATCCATGGCTCCATGGCGGCCCTTCCCGAGCAGTGTTGTCCTTGCCTTCCTGCCTGTACTTGTGTGGAGAGATTGGATCTAGTGAGGAACAGATGGGAGAGATGAAGGTGTTCGCCAAGTGTCACCTTCAGCAAGGTGTCATGTTTGGGCCCTTTGTAGGAGAAGTGTGCAGGGGACAAATGCCGACCAGCCTCAAGTATTCTTGGGCTGTAAGTAGACTGGATTGTATAGCTGTAAAGAGACAGCTTAAAATAAAGTTACTGCAGAAAACAGAGCTATTTGTTTTACTACATTTATGTGCAAAGGCAACTCAAACTCCATAATATTGATATTATAGACTTGTGTTAACAAACCAGCAGAAATTCTGTATAGAATTGCTCATAAATATATTTGTCATACATATTGTTCCCATTTCCAGATTAGGGATGATGCTGCTTTCATATACATTGATGCTTCTGATGAAAACAAATCCAACTGGATGAGGTGGGTAGTTTGTTTGTGGCTTGTTGAATTCTAATTCATAGACACGGTGTCATTGACATGCACCTAGTCAAATCCAGGCAAAACTTGTTATCATCTGAAAAAGTCAGATATGTTGTGTACTACGGGCCCGTTGACTGCTCTGTTTAATAACCCTACTCGTTAAACTGACTTTACCTAAACTAGCAAACATAATAGGGAAATGCAAGTTATTTATATGCAAATTAGCCTGTTATATCTTGAACTGGCATTGAGATCTTAAAATATATTGAAAAGGTCTTAAAATGTGTTTAATTTAACTTCATGATTCTTCCATATACTCTGCCTCATTCACATGTTAGCAGGGGGCCATCAGACCACTGCACAGTCTGCACACCATTGGTTTTGTGCGCTGCTGTAATGAGGTGGCTCATGTTAGGGAGTGGAAATTGTATGATCCACTTTAGGGTGGTGTGACCATCGTATCAGATACTTCTGCAGGCCACGCATGTCGCCTCTATTTTGACATTGTTCAAAGTAAAACAGGCTATTCTCATACTTCATCTGTAAACAGCAGGTACTGCAGAGACTGTGATCAAGCAAGTAAACCTTAAAATCACAACTCTTGTGCTCTGGGATGAGGAGTGTAGAACAGAAAAAAGACAAGAGACAGATTAGAATTGATATAACAAAATTGTTTATGATTATTGATTATTTGGGACCTCCAAAATGTCAGTATTTATTTATTTAGCTACTAGCTAGCTTTGGGGAGCTCAGGTGGGTCTTCTTTGGGGGAGCTTAACCCCCTTGGCTCCCCCTGTAATTTGAATACTGCTGTAAAGGCTGGTGGTAAGGCGCTAAACTGTCTGTCTTGACTGAAGCGTTTTGTCACTGCCCCCTTCTGCTATTGTCTGCTCTTGCCCACTTTCCAGGCGAGATGCAGTGCATCTGAAATGAGCCCACTGAGATGACAGAAAAGAGTACTGTGAGCTTGTGAGAAGTACTGTGTTCTGTTGAGTTGTGCTACCTAGTGGGTCTGCAGACTCTCAAGGTGGATAGCATAGGGTTAAAGGCGGGGGTAGGATTCGCAAATTCATAGATTCTGCTACCAAGGTAACATCTCTCAACAAGGTTGCACAACTTGACAGAACACTGGGGAGAAAAAGTCTTGGTACACCAAAAAGTAAAACGTAGAAGTGCTAGTACCAGTGAGTACTGGACCCTTTTGAGCAAAGGATTTTTTTTGTTTCCTTTCCTTTTTCTCCCTTGCAATTTTTTTTTATTCTTGAGTTTAGCGCTTACTTTGTTGGTCACAGTTGCATTGTTTGTGTGGTTGCTCTTTGTTTCAGGTATGTAACATATACAAGCAGTGAGGAGGAACACAACCTAATTGTCTTCCAGTTTTACCGTCATATCTACTACAGGGTTTCCCAGCCCATCTCTGAGGGAACAGAGCTCAGGGTCTGGATTGGCAAGGATTATGCCTCCCTGCTGGGCCTGGGGATGGGTGAGTTCTGTCCCACTGGGTTAATGTTGTGATAGATGCAGACTAGTCTATATTGGTTTTTCACATTCACAATTTTTCAGCTGACAGTAAACTTATATTTAAATATAAATGTTTTTCTGAAGGCCTTAAAACTGAAAATGTACTAGATGAACAACCTTCTAGTATCCTGTGTTTTTTGTTTTTGGTGGGAGTACAGCTGACAATGTGAAATGTCAAGTTGGAGACAAGGAAACAGCTTTGCGGCTCCTGCAGGACATCCAATTAGTCACCCTCCCGGAACCCAGCAGCACATCGCTTTGGTCAGACCACAGCCAATCACAGAGCCCTATGCTTGTCATTAATGATGTGACAACAGTGTCAAATCCAGAAGCAGCTAATGATTCAGGCGGGATTTCTGGCTCTGCCTTGACCTCCACCTCCATGATCTCCTTGCCATCCCCTAGCTCTCATTCGATGGAAAAGTATGATTTTATGCCTGGAACTGAGAAACTGCTGAGTAGCCCGAACGCCACACAGAACAGCCCCTGGTACTTTTTTGGGTTTGAGCCAGACCCAACTGGTCGGCCTCTGGACCGGAGCACTGCGGTATGTAAACTATGTATGGAGCATGTGGGCTGTGCTGGAGGGGCAGCAGACCTCCAAAACCATCTGACGAACAAGCACCACATCAGACCACGTGACAACAACAAGGACCGAAATGTTCCAGTAATAGGTAACTATTGCTGTCAATTGCCTATTTGCATTGCTCAGTAGATAGAGCATATCAAAGTTGCAAGGTTAAAGGAAAGGTCTGTTTTAATACAACTTCATCCTTATTTCCAGAGATTCCACCATCATTTATTTATTTATAACATTTATTATAACATTTTACTCAGCAGAATATCTGCTGAGAGCCATAACACTGCTACCGCAAAATCCAGCAGAGCAGGAAAATGAGCAGACAGATTGCGAACAAACCAAACATTTAGCCAAGTAATCTAATCTAAACCACTTTATTTGGTGATAAAACTAAATGATACCACAACTACAGAAATAGCAGTAATCTCCAAGTAAGAATCCAGTTAACATGTACAACTTTATTGTATAATTTGTATTTCATTTTATTATTTGTATTTTGTCCTTTTTTTTCTTTTTATCTCTATACACAGAGTCCCACCTGGCATGATAGATATTGTATTGTGCAATTAATGGTTTCCTAGCTTTTATTTAAAACTCAGCTTAATAAAATGATGTATTAAAACATTTTAAATAAAACAGTTGAACGGAAATCACGCTTATCTGGCCCAAAGCAGTGAGCTTTTGGAGCGCACCTAGCGAGTGAGGGTAAACCTTGTGATGTCACCCCTGCAATGTGCTCAAGCCATGGGCTGAAGCATAATACAGAAGGCAATGGCGAGCCGAAAGCTATCTGAAGTGTGATTACACTTTTCAAAACTTGACGAAGACAGCGTTATCTGCAGTGTTTGTTATGCAAAATGCAAAACTGGCCAATGCAACACAACTAACCTATGGAAATACCTGGGCAAACAAAATATACCCAAAAGCTCACGAGTGTACCGTGTTCGATAGCCTAAAAGCCAAGTCCCCTGCTGCAGCTGCAGTAAGCAGCACACTTGCAGCCAGCACCGAAGTTTTTTAATCTACATTTTTAAACTACTGATAATGAACACAACAAACCATGAGTTTGAAATATATATTGTATTCATATCATTAAAAATGTAGGTTTCATTACAGTAATAGTAATGTTTCTCACCACCTCAAGCTTGTTTGATACTAGGCGTTCATGTTATATCATGTAATATAATGATAACTTTTGAAGAGTAGTCCAGCCTTATCGTACAAATGGATGCACAATCATCTGACTTAACTCAAGTTACACAATGATGTTCAGTCGAGCACCTGTAATTGGATCTGCACTGCTTCTTTCTCGATCCTTTCCCTTTCATTTTCAGTATGTTTGTATGATAGTCAGTATTAAAGAGACACTTTACCCTGGTCTGTTTATCACGTAATAAAACAAAAAAGAACTGAGTATTCTGTAAGAAATATGCTGATAAAGAAAATGTTTGTTTGGCCCATCTACAGTCAAAGTCAAATTTTGCACTTTCTTTGCAAACATTTTGCGTTAACTTCAACGTTCCAATTTCTTTAATAGTTCCTGCCCAGACTACACTCAATACCCACTTAGATACAAGTGATGAAGACAACAGCAGAGCTATGCTATTGTACACTAGGCAGCTCTACATTAATCAGACTTGGAACAAACTGTCAGCAATACAGATTGCTCAAGTGATTATTATTCATCTACATGAACCCATGAATGTCTATACAGTATTTAAATTAATCTATCTTATAGAGCTATATTTAAATTAAATATTTTGGCCTGCTGGTAGCACTAAAGTCACCAAAGTCAGTAGGATTTATCCCCAGGGTATATAAATGTCTGTGCAAAGTGTTGTAGCAGTCTATGCAGTAGTTGTGGTGAACAACCAGCCAACTGACTGACTGACCAGCATTGCTGCCCATAGAGCTACATCACTAGCATGGGTAAAAATAAGACTCAAGCCATAGAAACCACAATTTTCCTTTTTAACCACCTTGAAGCTACTTTCTTAGTGTTATTGCTGCTTTTTCAACAAACAAATTCACAGGTTTACCTAAAACTAGTATCCAGTATAGTAACTATCTTGAACAGGCTGTGTAGAAATGTGTCAAACTGTTGGGGTGTCTTTGTTGATTGAATGTTTGTTCTTTGTCTCAAAAGGCCAACAGCGCTTCCAGTCGATGGTTAACAGCGGTCTGGTCAGCACACTCCCCTTGGTTTTGTCTGCTCAGCTGACTGATGCCATAGCCAACTTTCTCATTGTGGATCTCCAGCCCCCAGCTCTGGTAGAAGGGAAAGGCTTCAAACAGCTGATCCACACCCTGCAGCCTTCCTGCAAAGAACTGCCATTACCTTGTCAGCTCGAGAACTTCCTGAAAGAACAACATACGAGAGGCAAGATGAGTCTGGCTCAGCTGCTGAGGAAGAAAGCAGGAAGTGGAGAAAATGAGGATCTCTCTGACTACACTGCTCCCATCGAATCTGAGCCCAGGAGACGTGGACGACCTCCCAGCTATCGGAGGGAAGTTCCTCACTTTGTCACTTTAAGTGTGGACGTTTGGCTCCATAGCTGGCACAGCAGCACTGAGAGGTACCTAACCCTCTGGGCACACTACATAGACTGTACATTTAGTTTTCAGAATTTGGCCCTGGCAACACAAAGACTGACAGAGAGCGGAGTGAAAGATTTCAGCTTCCAAGCAGTGGAGGCTCAAGTGAAAATGATGGCACAGGAGTGGGGAATCTCCCAGCCCAATCTGGTCCTGTTGGGCGGGGAGGCAAGGAACAAGATGAGGCTGGGATTGATACAAAGTGAGAAAGGCGGAGAGGCTGCAGCAAGCATCTCTCACCCAAACTCAACAACATTTCTTGAGAAGGATGACTCTCTGTTACCTGATGAACCGCGTGCCTCAGAGCACTGCCATTTTAGCGAAGGCCTACCATCTGTCCCATGTTTCTTCAGCGCTGTGCAGGGCTGCATTGATGAAGTGATGTCACACACCATAATTTCCAAAACTCTCACTCACTTCCAGGGTATTCTCTCAACCCTGTTCCTGTCACTTGCTCAGAACAAAGGCTCATATCTGCATCATGCCCAGACCCTGTTGCAGATGCTGACCAAAGAAGAACAGGCAGAGCTGAAGTCGTGGGCTCATAGCCGGCCAACCTGGAATAAGCTGTACCCTCTACTGAGCATGCTCATCAAACATAAAAGCCTTCTTTGTGATATAATAAAAGAAATTAAAGGGGAGGGTTTGCCTAAAGAAGAAATGGCTTCAGAATCCAGTTCATCTGGCAGCTGCCACGCAAACTCCACCTCCAACACATCCTCAACAAGCACCACCACTTTGCGCTCTGAATGGAAGGTCCTCGAGGACCTGTGTTTGGTCCTCAAACCTCTGGATGTGGCTTGTCGAACCCTCGCCTCGAGGCCCTGTGTTTGGTCCTCAAACCTCTGGATGTGGCTTGTCGAACCCTCGCCAAAGAGGCCTTTCCCCGTCTGTCTCTTATCAAACCAATTCTCACTGGCCTGCTCTCCCGCCACCTCGTTACCCGGCCAGGGGATTCGTCATCTGTCCTGAAGGAGGTGAAGAGGATGATGAGGCGGAACTTGGCGAGCTGTTACAATAGTCCTTTTGTCAACAGGGTTTTGTGTGTGGCGTGTTCCCTTGACCCCCAGTTCCATGGGCTAGGATTCATGGATGAGAAGGTGAGTTACAAAGCTGAAATGCAGGGAATTTAGTAGTGAATAGCAGAGGCATGGTAATGTCACGCTGTCAGTCTGTCCGCCACTTTGGTCCAGGCTGTTATTTTAATCTGTTGTTTAAAAAAAAGTCTGTGTAACCATCTCAACAATCTTGAATCATATTTATATTATTGTGTGAAGGATAGTAAATCTTCTAGCTGTGATTATTTTTAGGAGCAAACAGCCACTTTTGATTGGCTGAAGAAAGAAGCTGTCAGGATTGTGAAGGAGGACAGGAGGAGGAGCCAAGGTCAGAAGCAGAACCGGAGTAAGAGGAGCCCCTCACCCGGGTCACCAGAATCAGAGACTGAATTCCTGCGGAGGAGCAAACGCCTCAAAGAATCACGCCCAATCAACTTCAGAGAGATAGAAGACGAAGATGAAGAAAGTGATGTAGGAGAGGTTGATGAGAATGAGTCGACAGATCCAGGCTCTCAGTGTGGGCTCACTGGTATGGAGTTCCTGCTGGGAGACCTGTTCTGCTCTGGCCCTCGGAGCAGACAGAGCTCTGTGGAGGAGTCTGTAGACATGGAGATGTCGGTCTTCAGAGCTGACAAAGGGGCTTCCCTGGGAGTGGAGCCCCTGCAGTGGTGGAGGACAAAGGCAGTGCAGTTTCCATTGTTGGCCACAGTGGCACGAGCCTACTTGGCTGCCCCTGCCGTGGCAGGTAATGCAGCACAGGACTTTGTACAGGAAGGAGCAGGAGCCACTCACCGTAAGAGAGCCAACATTCCACCGGAAAATTTGGACGCCATCTTGTTTCTGCACCACAACAATATGCCCAGTACTGAGAACGGACAAACAGCAGTTAGGAATGATGAGAAGAACAGTGGGACTGAGAAGATCCCATAAACACACACACATTCATTCCTTTTTCACAATATGCAAATTTAACACTCAGCTATGTGTGTAACACTCACAGGATTCTTATCAGAGTTTTAAAATCATAAATCAAAGCTCCAGCACAACATTGGCCCACTGACAAAAATGAGGAACAGCACAGTGTATCCAAACAGGGGGCACATAACAGGCTATACACATGTCTAAACTAAATGCCTATTAGGAAGAGAAACCAATGTTTTGGGGATCAGAGGGTGGGTTTTAAATTTGGTTGGAAGATTCAGTCTAAAGTTTTATTGATTGAAATCTCTATATTCATCTCTAATTGTACTACATTTCCCCCTTTTTTTCAGAAATAAAATGGAATTGTTTTTCCATTTCCTTCAGACTCAAGAGAAGGAAGACAAAGAATCTGTTTGTAGTCTCTAGCTCTACTACTGATCAACAATTTTGTTTTATGTACCTTGTAGTACGTAGTGCCTTACATTGTTTCAATACTACAATAGTGTTTCTATTTTTTTATCCTTAAAACATTTTAACAAATCTATATATTAACTGTGATTTCAAGTGTGTAGACTGTCCCACATGGTAGTAGTATGTAAAACTACCACCAAGCGACTGTGCTTTTGCATCATTACTGTGTATTTTGTGTTATGAATTAGTAGATTGTGAAAGAAAACTCCACAGACCAAATAATAGCTCACTTCATGATGCTCTTCACTCATTTCACAGAAAAGAAAATTTGTGAGTAAAATGGCGATAAGTTAATCATTAAAGATCGATGAAACAGTTTGAAATAAAAAATAAAAAAAAGGCAATCGCATAGAATAAAACATGCTGGCACATTTAAGTTGGGAGAAATGTTTACTCCTTGCTTTGCTGTATTTCAGAAGGTCATTAGTTGGCTGTGTAGCAAATTTAAAATATTTTTTTCAAAGTTTTACAGAGTAGAATACATTACATTATATGCTGTTAACATGATGGGTGAAGTGTGTGAGGACAATGAGTTTGTCTTACACTGAGATTCTTTATCTATTCACATCCAGTACATGAAAATAACTGCTTTTCATTTACTGTAATGTCAAACTTTGAAATAAAAATACTACAGTTTGAGCTGTTACACTAGATCAGCAGTAGCATACTTAAGCATAAATATAAAGACTTGGGAAAGATTCAATTGTCTTTTAAATTCTTTTAACCCCTCAACTAGATTTTTATTTCTCGCTTAAATCTGGCAAAGACCTGGTGAACTATGTACCCTGAAACTTCCCACAGCTTACAGGATGTGTTTGGGTCTTGGCTATGGTTTTTAATGATGATCATTAATAAAACTGTAAACCTACACTCACCAGCCACTTTATTAGGTACAGCTGCTATTAATGCAAATATCTAATCAGCTAATCACATGGCAGCAACTCAGTGCATGTAGGCATGTTCAAGACAATCAGCTGAAGTTTGAACTGAGCATTATGAAACTGCTGATCTACTGGGGTTTTCCCACACAACAATCTGTAGGGTTTATAGAAAATGGTCTGAAAGAGAGAGAAAAATCCAGTGAGCAGACCTTCTCTGGGTGAAAATGTGTTGGTGCCAACCTCTTACTAGTAAGGTGTACCTAATAAAGTGGCTGGTGAGTGTATGTTTGCTGATCAGTGTGCAAGTTACAAATCACTGCTACGATTGAACTGTCCATTCCAGTGCTTTGTGCAGTTATACAGAGCCTCTGAATCCAACAAGATTTTTATAGATGAATTCTTAGAATTTAAATTTTTTTATGGCTACTAAATCTGAAATCCTTTTCAGTTTAGGTGATTTTATTGTCCACATTAGCTGTCCTTTAAACCCAGTGACCCCCTGCCCCCTCCTTTTCTTAAAGGGATTCTGTCAATCATTGGTCCTGTGTTGATATTATGGACCTAATTATAACTGGCCAAATAAGCAGCATCACTTTATCTGATCATTGGCCCATCATGTTTCCCACCTCTCTCCTCCGATCATCCTAAAGTCTGCCAGGAATCTATGCCAGGCCCATCACCAGATGCCTTCACCTCTCTTTAGAGTCCCCTGCTAATCTAGACACATCTGAGCTGTGGTCAGCATTCAGGTCCATCTGCACCAATGCCCCTCAGAAAACTAGAAAACTCTATAATTATAAAGTTCAATGCCACAACCCGTGCAGTTAGAGGGGGAGTACAGGAGAGCTGAGCGTACACGGAAAAACAAAGTCAGGTGTTCTACCAGCATCTGAGGTAATGTCTTACAAAATGCCAACAGCATATAGAGAGATTTGAATATTTTTCTGACATTATTTTCAAACATAACCATAGACCTAAAGTAATACACTAAATATCATCACAGATATATAGGAGACACCCAGTTGTATCTCCATTTGAAACCTGGTGTTTTATTTGATTTGGATTTAATATTTCTTAAACAACTATATTGTCATCATAACTATGGTATAATACACATAAAAAGTCACTTTTAGCTTTTCCCTTTTAGGGGTCGCCACAGCAAATCGTCACACTGACGACTCACATGTTGACATTTGGCACGTGTTTTACACCGGATGCCCTTCCTGACCCAACCTTGATTCGAACGTGGGGCGCAGCGGCGAGAGCGCTACGCCTTAACCACCAGCCTACCAGGGATGGCTATGGTACAATACACAAATATATGAAAATGTGTATAATTCATATCTCGTTGTGATGAATAAACGTAAACCAAATGGTGTCTAAAAGCTAAGCTGAGAGAAATACTATTCTAATTTTATTAATGCAGTTTCTAATTTATTTTTAATTTTTACATTTTTGTTAAAAATTAACAGAAGCATACAGAACCTGAAAAGTAAAAGATCTAGACAATGACAAACATTTGTTTTATTATCCCTCTATAATTTGGTTTCATCCAGTGTGGAGCCATAGGTGGCTTTATTCTGGGCAGCGTCTTCCCTGTGGCGGGCTAGTTTCCTGCAGTGGATGAAGACGTAGACAGGATGGATAAACGCCTGCAGAGTGAGGAGGATCAGAGCAATGTTCACCTGAAACAGATCAAAACATTCATTTATCAGAAGTCAGTCACAGCATCCCACAACTGTCAGTGAGCCCTCTGCCTGTGCGTACCCCACTGTCCTTTTTTTTTTTTTTTTAACTAAAATTTTCTTAACATACAAACAAAGGGTCTCCGCCCAGAGCTCCTCTGACCAGGGTGAAGAAAGGGTACTGCAGCAGAGAGATGACACCAGACACAGACATCACCAGGCCGTAGAGCTTCCCAAAGTGACAGGCTGGAAAACTGAGAGAGATAGAGAGATAGAGAGAGAGAGAGAAATGTCACTTCCACGGCTCTGTCGAACTTTCTGACCTGTACCCACAGTTGTCTTTCAGTTTTTAATCAAGGCAACTTAGATATTTCAGTCACTTTAAACTTTAATCATCTGCAGTACAGTAACATTTTACAGTATATCATGAAACTACAATTGACACCTGTATCAAAACAAATTATATTTATTTTTCCTTTCTGTCCATTTTACTGCTGCAGCGGTAAAGTAATTAGCAATTATTTTGAAGTACCTCAGTTACAGATTAATGTTGCTCAGTGTAAAAATAATTTTTGTAAGACACCTGTTGCAGTGACCTGTATGCTTAATTATAAGCACTAAAAACCTGTGCTAATGTTCCTGAGGAGAGAGCAACTGTTTTTGTGTTCTACATTTTGTAAGGAGAGAATTTTTTTTATTTCAAAGAAAAAAAATCTGCAAGTCATTTAGGCTCTTTGTGTTAGAATTGTGCATTGAAACTCTGTTGTGAAAACTAAACCAAAGAGATTGTAAAGTAGTTTAAAAGAGGCTGTAGTTTATATTATCAGCTTGATAGTCTTTTAAGAAAATTGCTTGTTAAGTATGCTTCAGTGCTAGTGAAGGTAAATTTGTGACTACTGATACAGTTTGTCCAAATGTTTTCCTCTGTTTCCACATAATGTACAATATGAATGTTTTTTACACTTTCCTCCGGCCACAGTTGTGCTAATAATGAATTTGAAATCCAAGCACAGACTAAACATTGTATTACAATTACAGAGGCAGTTATATAGGTATTTGTACTCTTAGCAGCACTCATTAGCATTGTTGTAGTACTCGAGTCCAGGAATCAGACTCGAGTCCGACTCGAGTACTCCACATTTTCCAGACTTGTGACCTGACTTGGACTTAAGTACTGATGACTTGGACTTGGACTCTAGCATTGACTGCATTCGGACTCCGAAGTTGGAGATGAGGACTCAGATTTTTTTTGTTATAAGCCATAATAATTTGGCATAAGACATTCATATTAAAACCCATTTGTCCACACCATGCTGTACCCTGCACGCGCCGCCTTTCTATAAATTATTTTTATGTATCAAATTGCCAGGCATTATAGTGATGCAATACACTGTTAGAACGTTTGGAATATAAAATGGTGAGAACTGTGTCAATTATGTTTAATGCAGACCCTGAAGACTCCGACTCAGGTAATGGGGACTCTACTCGAACATAGCTCAGACTTGACAGATTATTCTTTATTGACTCGGATTCGAACACTGGGGCCTCAAGACTCGACTCGGACTCGAGGTTTAGTGACTTAACTACAACACTGCTCATTAGTATGTGTAATGTGTGGACTCGCATTCCAGAGCTGACAGGAGTGACAGGAGGCAGAAATCATAAGTGGTGCTGGTTTGGCTGTAGGATTTGTTGGGGTTTTGTAACTGCTCTTCATTCATACTGGGGCTTCAGAGAGGGAACAGGGATACCACATTAGAAAATTTGACTAATATCTTTTACAGTCCAACAGTCTGTAGATGTTTTATAGAGTGTTAATGGTTATAACTCTCCCATTGTTTGCTCCACCTTGCCAAATTAAGCATGATAGATAGTGTTGTTAAACCAGTATCTTTGCAATTTAACAGTATAGCTATAGAGTTTTTAAAATAATAGAATGTGTAAAAAATCATGATGACAAAATGTAATACTGTGTCCCACATTACACAGGAAAACTGCATTCACACAGAAGGTGTGAAAGGCCTTGAAAGCCATTTCTTTTATGTTGTCCACCAACCCTTTGTGTGTATGTATGTAATAGGTGCTCACGCAATGCTGAGGAAGGCTGCGTTTCCGCCGTAAAGGAAGGAGCGATTGAGAACTTGCAGAATAAATGTGAGGTACTGCAGCGGCAGGAGAGGAACAGAAGCACACACAGAGAAGAGCAGGCACTGCAGGGAGGTCAGGAACAGAGACAGACAGGAGGAGCGCAGGTCTGCCTCCCGCTCTGATTCTCCTACAACGGGGAAAATGGTTAAGAAGGAATACGTGAAGTTGCTCAGTTGCAAACACACGAAGAGAGCCAGTTATAACACTGGTTACTGATTTACCAGGAGACAGAGGTTTTCCCCTGTGTCTGTCCATGATGAGTCCATTCCAGGGTGCACAGAGCACTCCACACAGCTGGGTAATGGCAAATGCATTGGTGTACTGACTAACTGAGGGAGACACAGTGGGAAGGAAATGACCACAGAAAGGATAGAAGAAAACGTGGGGTTGGGGTTGGATGATGATAAAGAGAAGCCCAGTAGGAGATCAAGGAGAAAGATTTAAATCATGGACAGTCAGTATGTGTGATAATAAAGTTAGTGATTTTATAGTGAGTTACCCTGGTTGGGGTCATTGTTGGCCAGCCGGTTGAGCATGGGGTTGAGCGTTCCGATAAAGAGGTAGTGTCTCAGCTGTATTATGGACAGCCACAGCAGGTGCCACAGGAAGAGCCAGGACAGCACGCAGCTCCGGAAACTCGCCACTAAATGTGAAAAATCACATGAGATCTGATGGAAGTGCTTTTTGCAGTTGAATAAATGTTCTAATACTTGTGTTAGCCTATTTAAACCTCAATATTTGAAAAGGAAGAATGCAGACTCCAAGCTGGACACTGGACAAAATTTTAACTCAGATGAAGAGCCTAGTACGAGTGGTGGTCAAAAGAAAGCAAAAACATTGAGCTCAAGACAATACAGCAAAAGTTTACTTTCACCAGGGATCAAACTGCACCGACTTATACTTTGTGTGTTGGGAAAAGCTATCCAACACTGCCATAGTCCCAAGCAAACTTAAACACCATCTCCAAACAAAACACCCATCACTTCAAAACAAGAACACAGACTACTGTGTTAGCCTGCATGAACACACAAAGAAACAGGCAACTTTAATGAGAAAAACCACAAAGACCTTTATTTTAATAGCCTTTACTGCTATAAAGGCTAAAACAGAGACAGAGCTGTTGAGGAAGAGCTTCCTGCCAGGATATCAGCTTTGTATTCATCTAAACAGGCCCAGGTTTCACGCTGAGTATAAACAAATTAAAATACTAAATTGTCATTAAATATACTGTATTAGGCTAAATTGTGTCATTTTGTTATACTTTTGGTTGGCGGTGTGCCGTGGGAATTTTTGTAATGTAAAAAATGGGCCGTGGCTCAAAAAAGTTTGAAAAACACTGATTTAAAGTGCATTTGTTTATGGTTTGTATTTTCTCCTTCACTTCTAAGTAAAGGAGCAGTTTACCTTTAAATAACTAACATTTATCTTCTGCTTAACTCCAGGCCATTTGATAGTACAGTGATATTTAACTGTACAGGGGAATTGGTGTTTCCCTGTAGTTCCTTTCAAAATAAACTTAGCCACTGTGGTCATCCCCTCACAGCTCAGGAAACAGGTAGAAAGTGTCCTTCACAGCTGCAACAATTAGCTGATTAATCAATTAGTCAACTGACAGAAAATTTTGAAAACTATCTGGATAATTGACTAACAATTTCAGTTTTTTTTTTTTTAAGCAAAAAGCCCTGGTTCAGCTTCTCAAACGTGAAGACTCACTACTTTTCTTTGTCATATGTGACAGTAAATTGAAAATCTTCAGCATCTGAACTGTTTATCAGACAGACTGGGTACTGTGAAACTGAGAATGACATTTTTTGACATAGAAAGATTAACCTAAGTAGGTATCAGTTTCAGTCCTGTGTCCATTAAATTATAGCAAAACAACTGAACCACAAAAACTGTGTACTTCCTGAGGTGGCTACATCTGGTTGTGCACCTTATTGAACTTTAGATTAGATGAAGACTTGCTGATAAACAGTACTGTGTGTGTGTGTGTGTGTGTGTGTGTTGTAGAGGAATTAAGGAAGAAAAGTGCACTGTGAATAGAATAATTGAACATATGATCTTACATCTGTATAGACAATTAGAAACCATTTTTAGTTTGGAATGTTTTCAAGTCCCCTTTGAAACGCGATTTATGTACAAATTTATTGCTCGACCATGTTCTCCAAACATACATTTATGGATCTTAAGAGGGAAAAAATGGTATAAATTCTATAAATACTGAACCTCCTGAGTCTTGGGCCTTTGTACTTTCCTCAGGTGCTGGTGCTGTGTTATCCATCCCACTCGACTCCTGTAAAACTGTCATTGCACAGTCCTTCATGCTTTCAAACTTCTTCACATTGTAAGTGTTGGCCTTTCCACAAGTTAGTCTGAGCATTAGAAAAAAAAGTATCAGAGTTATGTCTCATCCATGAAGTTGATCTGAAAAACCTCAGTGAAAACAGCTGCTACAAAATCTATAAAGTATTCTCACCCATAGGTGTAGTTTTCAGGCAGAGGGTAGGGGATGTGGCTCTTCGGCATCAGCAGAAAGGTTCTCAAAACATGTATGATGCTACAGAATGACAAAAAAACAAAGGAGGAGCAGAGAGAGACTCCCTGTTCATATAGCACCTGGAAATGACAGGAAAAACTGGTGGTAAAGCTCAACAAAAAAATGAGCAATTTAACAGAATTTAATGTACAAATGAAAATATATATCAAAAGAAGCACAGAGCACCATTACCACTAATTGTGTATTTCCATCACATTTTAAGTTAAACTGGGTTTAAAGAGCCCATGGGTGTTTTTCTGTCAATATGGGGTGCTGTGTGTACATTAATGAGGAAAAAAATGAACTTAAATGATTTTAGCATAAGGCTGCAATATAACAAAGAGTGAAAAATTTAAGGGGGTCTGAATACTTTCCGTACCCACTGTAAGTCAGAAAACAAGGAAAAGCAAGCCATGGGCTCTTAAATGCAACAAAGAAAACTGTTTGAAATCTTGTATCTCATAAAGTATGTACCAGACTTATATTTCCTCTGGCTGTAGATCAAATTAGTCACTGTTCTATGCACAGTAATGACAAATGTTTAGTGTGTCTGCCACTGCAGCAAGCTGTATACTTCTCTAGAGTCAACTCTCTGTGGTTGACTTTAGAGAACTACAATCATGAAATGTGAACTGCCAATCTAATAAATGATTTCTGATGCTGCCAGAATGTAGCATTATATTGACCTTGATGATGAAAAACACAGCTGCGGAGGAGTCAAAGGCCCCATTGTAGACGGTGATGACGGTGGAGCGGTGAGTGGTGAACAGGTTGCCCACCTTCTCGACACACAAAGACATCAGTGAAAAGTGGATACATTATTGGAAATCTCAAAAGCTACAATGAATAATTATATGTAGCATGTCTGGCATTTTTTTATCTTAAAATATTTTTAGAGGAGCAATATGGAGTATTCACCTGTATGTTAGTTAGAAGGAGCAGAATTCCTCCCACAGCAATGCAGGACAAGGCAGGAAAGAGCAGCGCTGACAATGCTATAGGACAGTGGACTCAGTGAACTCACCACACTTTGTTATCCTTCAGAAAGTATTTCCTTGATTTTGTAGCTATGACATGATTATGAATTTATTCCTTTTCCTTTCATTCACAGAGAAGTCACGTGTTGTCATTGTGGAGTACCATGTGTAGACTGATGAGAAAACAAATGAATTGTATCCATTTTAAGAGCAATTTGAAGCATAACAAAATGTAGAAAAATGAAAGGGTCTGAAAACTTTCCATCCCCACTTTATCCCCACTATTTGATTAGATTTTACCAAGATGGTGTATATGCCAGCTGTGACTGAGTAAACATTTCGTTTCACAGGTTGTGCTCTAAAATGGTTTTGAAAGAGATGCAACAGGAACACAGAGAGCTAGCTTGTCAGAGGTTTGCTAGCTGTACTAGCCAGCAAGCGAGCTAACTTCCATATTAACTTTATTTTGCCATTATGGTTAAGTGTATTTTTAAAAATAAACTAGATTTCATCATACTTAAGTAATGTTAGATGCTCACATACAATATAAACAAACTATTTGGGAGAGATGAATGTATGTTTGTTAGGCTAAAACTGTGTATGTCTGCCTGCTTTCTGGAAGCCTTTCAGCATTGGCGCAATGATACACACTTAAAATGTGATGTGAAAACTATTTCTATGTGTGTCTATAATCATTAACTCTAATGATATAAGGTTATGTAGTTGCTACAGATGTTAAAAGGGGTTAGTGAACTGTCTGAAATGGTCACAAGGGGGTAGTATTTATTATCTATGTGAGTGCTGGAGTGCCATTACCTGCACTAGAGAAGGCCACAAGAAGGGTTCCAGTAGTATACAGAGATCTGGAGAGATACAAAACTTGTTTTTGAGCAGACACGTCTATGTCGTTTTCATTTATCTACCAACGATACACACAATCAGACTCACCAGAAGGACTGAAGACATCTTTACATATTAAAAACACAACAGTAAACAAAAATATATTAGAAAAATTAGTTTCCACTCTTATGAATGGTGATGTGGAAACTGGTCTGTGTTTTTTATGGAAATGCCCAATTAAATAAAAGTTTTAAACAACCTCCTTGTGCCACCTAAGAGTGCTTGAAATATTTTTTCTGTCATTTTTGCTGCAGTTCAACTTTGAGTGCAGCTTAAGGCTTTCTGGATTTGTTGGATGTTTTGGATTGCAAGCATGAGGCTTTTGCCCTGTTTTAGTAAATAATCTCTTTGGTTGACACAGATCATTTCATTCTGACTGGCAGATGATCAAAACTATGGTGCATGCCAATAATTAAAGATTTGCTTCAGCTTACTCTAGTAAATAAGTAGTCAGGTTTATCTCCCAATAACTTCTTTACTTGCTTTAAACACATGCTCAGTCTGAGTGTTTTTCATGGGTGGGCTTTTAGCTGATGACTTATATCATGTGATCTATTTCACATATGCACTGTGCACAATAAACAAGTAACCTAAATAGTCACTGTGTAATGCAAACACAGCTACTTTAAAACACCGATATGCTTGTAGATGTTTGCAGACATGAAGACATGAGTGAAAATGCACCATAGGGATAAACAGTAGCTCAGTTAATACTGACTGTAAAAATATGAGGGTCTGATCAGGTCTGGGGTCAAATGAAGCAGGCTCTGCCTGAGCGTAATCTCTCTGCCTGTGTCAGACACTCCCAACCTTTATCTCTGTAACCCTTACTGAGCCCCTTTATCCTAACTGTAAGCTGTAGAAATGACTCAACTGCAAACTGAAATACTGTGTGAGCTTGAATAATAACTTGTTTTCACACTGCTAGACTTTTGCTATTTCTGCTGAAAACAATTTCAGGACAAGGTAGTGCATTAAAACTCAAGCATTTGTCTCATTGATGATCTGAGGTTGGACTAATGTCTTTTATGGTGGATTAATGTCTCTTAAACTACAGATAAATAAACATATGATTTAAAAATCAGGGTATGTTTACCAGTTAACAATTTTTTGGATTAACATGTTCTTAAAACACTTCAAAATGGATGCATCTGGGGTCTTTGACTACAGCCTGGATTGGCTATTTTAGTTTGACAATGAACTCACATTCCCAGCAGCCTGGCCACCATGGTGCCAAACTGATCAAATATATAGCCATTGACTATAGTCGAGAAGTTGTTGAGGAATGAGGCGATGGTGAAGACCAGGGAGAACTGCTCATCCTGTCTGCTACAGTCTGTGAGAGAGAAACAATGACAAGCAGATGAAAAGAAGCAGTGAACGGCCCAAACTGATGAGCACATCGCCACAGTAGCTAATGGCAGTAAACAATCTAAATGAGGCATTTACTGGCAGAACAATCCCACCACAGGCTCCATTCAGTAGCTGTTCTGACATTTGCAGTCATATCACATATTCTTCTTCAACAGGATTGTAGGACTTCTCATCCATTTTGGCTTAAAAGTTCATTGCTGATTGTAGGGACAGGTCAAAGGTGGAAACTACAGAATTAACCTTGTGGTGAGATTGTTTTACCAGCTGTTTGTTTTTCCGTTTCCAGTGGGATGATAATGTTGCTCTGTGTCTGCTGGCAATTATTAGCTAAAAATATTTGCTTTTGTTTAAGCCATAACTCAAAGGTTGTAGTGTGTTTGGGGTGTTTGTTAATGTGTGTTGAGAATCTTCTTCCCCCAAATAGCCAACATAAACTATTAATGCAGCTTTATTTGTGCTTTTTTGCTTCATTTTCAAGAGATGTGTCTGTGTTCTGTAAAGATGAAGTAGTCTTTCTTTTTATAAATCAGCCAGTACCTTTCTTTGAAAAGTGTGCCAGATATTTTCAAGCGGGTCACACACTTTCTCTAGGAAATATTCTCTATTTAGTCTGATACTGGTGTTTTAAAAGAACAACTACTTTCTAAACAAGAAATCAATTTTTTTTCACCAGCAGGGACACTTTAATGAGCGTCCCAGCAACATGACCACCTCTTGAACCTGAACCCCAGCAGAGTAGCTCACCTGTACTGTTCAGGGTGTCGTTGGTACCTGGGATGCTGACACAGAGCTGGCTGAAATATCCATCGTCCTTCAGCACAAACACCAGAGAGGCATAACCAAACACTGCTCCGGCAAAGCACAGACACTCCAGCATCCCTGAGGCCAGAGTCAGCCAGTAGCGTGGCCTGGTACCAGCCTCGTTCCTCTGCATAATTCACTTCCTGTCCGTAGGGCTCCAAAAGGGGCAAACGGTGTTTCCAGTATAGGCTGGATCCGCTGAGAAAGTTGTTTCCTCTGTGGTTTTCTGTTCCTACAGTGTCTTCTTAAGCAGACTGTTTCTAGAGTTTTGCTCAGCTTGTCCAGGGAACTTCAGGTCTCTGCTCTATAAATGTTTCTACGACAGAGGACAAATATAGAACAGGTGTGAGGGAGATATTAACTTCTTTTCCATCTTTCAGTTAGAGCCCAGACAGTACAATATGACACAGCATATTGTTCCACACCTTTGCAGCAGTGCTCCCTGTCACAGGCTTTTATTTTGCTACACTTCCACTTTAATACAGGAGTGCGGAATGAGCATCAGTGTAGCGGTCTGAATGGATTAAATACATAACATACAATTAACCATGTGAACCAATTCATACTCAACAATTATTATTTTTCTACAGTCATTTTAATGCATTTAAAAATTATTTTTAAATTAAATATTGTTCTTGCTTAGTGTGGCTGTGTAAAGATGCAGAGGATCCCAAGCAAGTCCTTGGCATTTCTCTCCACACCAGAAACTGAACTTTCAACAGTATTTGAGCATGTTTACTTTGTAGGCTACTCTACTGCTGCTCACAACAGTGTGTTGTGTCCAGCTCACACGGTGAAGGTGGTGCATCAAGTCAACACCGAAAATGTAATGTTGGCACAGGTTTAAGAAGCGTCTGCTTAAACCTGAGCAGAAGCTGTGGAGCAGCTCAAACACTGAGTGAAACAGCTGCTGGGACACTAGGATGACTAGGTTAGGTTGGGTTGGGTTGGGTTAGGAACTTTATTTTCCACCTGGTGTAAAGTTGTTTTTGGCTTCACCTCAACAACAGAACACATGGTCACAGATAATACAAAATAACGAGTACATGTAAAAACACAAGATTTTACAACAGAAATATAAGCTAACATTAAAATAGGTTAAAAAAATGAATAAAAAATATAAATTTAAGCGAACTGGAGCACAACTTCTGGGATTTGTTAACACATTTGAATTCTCAAATACGGGATACTCAGATAAATAAAAATGTTATTTGGCTGGAATACTTTAAATGGAGTCTCTAATTTGGTTTAAAAGGCTCAACTTACAAAGCGCCATCCGGTAACATCAGTCTTAATATTTTCTTATAAATTAATAGAGTTCATGCAGTAAACTCAAATCACACAAGGGCCGAAAATTAAACCACAGTCACAGCTGCGGGCTAAATAGGATTAAACCGACAATGATTTAACCAAAAATATGAACTTGAACAGACTGCAATAAAAATTCAACATATTTTTTCCTCAACAATAACATCAAGCCAGCATCATTTTTGCTGTAGCTTTTTTGCACATTTCCTGCTACAACTGCAGTCTGTCTTTTAATTCTTTGACAAATTGTTGATGACACAAAAGACACACGGGTTTTCTCCTTGCAGCTGAAACATATATTCGCTTTCCCACCTTTCGTTAAATTGCCTTCCTTCTGCATCAACCTTTCTCTTCTTGGACATGTTGGGATTAATTGTTGGTATTTCTCCATCTCACTTATCGGGAAGTTGCTGGTTAAATGCGGGGTGCTAAACACTGCAGTCTTTTTGCAATACTTCGACGTGCATTGTGGGAGATGTAGTTTATGGTCAGTGTACGTTTTAAATTAGCGTAGACTTTTATTTTAAGACAACCATACGCAATTTAAGATTTCAAGGGCCACATAAAATGATTCGGCCTTGAGTTTGACACCTATGCAGTAGAGGAAAGAAACTAAGTCCATTTGTTGAATGATTGTACTGACACTTTGAGGTACTTTCAGGGAAATATTGTTGCTTATTTCTTTTATTTAACAGCTACATTTACAAGTTACTTTGAGTTGCTTTGCGAATTCAGATTGTGTAAACAACAATCAATGCATTATATACTGTACGTATTTTTTTTTTTCAATGTAATTATTCCTTCACATTAAACTCCCCAGTAGCATGTCCATATTGACCAACTCTAACATCAAAATTCGGCTAAAATATGAAAGTATTAGTAACAATTGTCTTAGAATTTAATGTAATCTATTCAGCGTTATCATACAATAATGATAATGCATACACTGAACAGTCAGATGTCCCTCATCTTTTCAAACTAAACTCATAACATGAGGACAGCAGACACAGCGGTACTCACTGTAATCCAGATTAGTTCTGTTAATCTCCGCGTAGTGACACATCGCACAACGTGGACGCAAAACTGCCTCAAGACGAAACGTGACTATAACATGTTTTTAACATTTGATGTCGCAACTGTTATATTACCCAAATGACAGTGTGTGTATTGAATGAATGGTTACCGTGTAATTTCCAGGTGGTCCAAACATGACAGGACGTTTGTGCGGGGAATCCGTAGGACAGTGATGCGCCTCGCACCCAGCGACAGTCTGACGGTCGCACTGTCTCTCTGTGATCTAGCTGTATTTGCAAGTGCTGCATCTGTACAGGGCGGGGAACCACATTAACGAAAGGGCATTATAAACGCAGTAATTCTCGCTATAGTCTAATCTTATGGACTTTATGTTATTCATCCTATATGATCGTGACAGCATATTTAATGTAACCCATTCTGTCTCTGATACTTAGAGATAAAATGTACTACAGAACAATAAATACACTTAAGATCACCAATGAGATGACATGTTTTGTTATATGGTTCAAACACAGGGCCTTTTTAATAATGATGTTATTAGAAACTCTAGTCATTGTGGTGTGGTTTGTAGGTTTGTGTGGATAAACATAAATTTGAATTATGAATACATTTCTCATTTACTTAGAGTATGTCAGGCAGCTGATGTGGCCTCATCACCTTAGGTTTTTCAGTAAAAATGCTAATAAATAGACCTGCCTGGTTAACTGCGTGTAAATTGCTTGTCCACTTTGCTTATAGTCTGTGCAGAGCTCTCTACACATAAATAAATCAAGGTGCAGGATTGGCCCTAAAAGTGTACAAATGTTTTGTTGCTCCAGCTGTACCCTACAAGAACTGTGCCTTTGAAATTGGTACATTTTTGTACCTTCTTCTCTGTACCTCTAAAATAATATCTTTGCACCCCCAGTGACAAAAAATGTACATTGCAGTACAACGTTGTGTCCATTGGAAAGGTACTGGGTTGGTACCCAATGAACTACAGCTGGAGCAACAAGCCATTTTGTACCTTTATGAGTCAAACATTTACCCTTAATTAACAAACAAATACATTTATAATTATTCACCAAAGTTTTATTAATCAAATAAATTCTAAATGCAAATTCATAACTCATAAGTTATTTCAAAATTCACACTCAAAATGACAAACTGCAAGCTGATATAGTAAAACATTATTGTAGAATTCAAATTCAAAATACTAATTCACAACTTGTAACAATCTCAGAAATTATTTAAAAGTGAAATTATAAATCAAAAGCATTTTTCCTAAATGTCTCAATCCACTATACAAATTATTATCAATTGTACCTATGTCAAGTGATGTGTGGTCCAGCTCATCTCCAGATCTGAGCAAAATCCAGCCACTGTCTGTTTTTACATGGTGGGCATGAAAATGTGAGTCAAAGGCCAACGGGAACAAAATTTTACAGCATGGAATCAACATTAAGAATGTTTTTGATCTGCCCAAACACAGGAATTTCTTCAAGATGTACATGGTCTAGTGTCAACACATTTCTAACTTGATGTTGTCTGCAGACATTTCAGAGACGCGTTGAATTACTTTGCCCTCTATCTCTCTGACATTTTGACTTACTTTGAGAGAAGCCTGAAGGTTAGTGGGTAGAGACAGTAATGGTGTGCTGACATTTTTAACAGGCACCTTTTCACAGCAACCCAAGATATAATGAGGTGAAAATTCAGTTATTAGTTAGAGTCTTAAAATATTGATGGTTTCCTTCAAATCTCATACACCAAAGAAAGTGAAGAGGACCATACATCGGCATAAGTCTTGGCTAATGTATAAGATAATGACATTTAGGTGTTAAAACAAGTCCAAATACCTCAGTCATCTGAGATGAATAAAACTAAATACAGCATAATCTTATTGATCCCTGGTGGGGAAGTCACAAGGTATCCAGCAGTAAATTAAAATTTGTTCCAAATTCACCAGCTGTAAAATTAAATATGAGGTGCACAGTATCAATAATTATAATCCTATAATATGATATACAGAATGTTAAATATGTCAGTGTGCATAATGAATACATTTATTATTTTAAGTATGTTTTGATGCTATCAACACACATACACACACACACACACACACACAAAATCAGTGATACCTCTGGAAAAATATACTGTATATGACTGAAGGTTTGTTTAGAAACACCACCTAAATATTCAGTCAGATATTTTTTCACCATCTGTTCAAACAGAAAACAGAATTATTGATTAGTGTTCAGAACAGCTCTAGTGATAATGCCATTTTGATGAAGCCAGATGACATGAAGTTGTTAAATGATAAAAATAAATAAACTTTGTTATTAGGAATTTTAAAAACTATCTCAGCCATGTACAAGTAAAGAAATGACACTGAAAGGAAACATTAAAAGCAACAAGCAGCTGCAGTTTATTCATTTAATCTAAAGCACACAGACACATCTACAATAATTTACAGGTGAACTTGCTGCTATATAGTTAAATTCACCTGCTTTAATATTCATCTGTAATGTTACTGTTGGTAAAAGATTTTTTGTTGCTTTCAAACTTAATGCTAATGTCCAGTTAAAAATCTCTAATGTAAAACCTCAGAACACCACAGTCTTCTGCATTGAAATGATTTCAAAAGAAGCCATAACATTTCAAACATGTCAAACACGAGGCTTCAGCTGATCATTTGGTGAAGGTTTAGTCTGCTCTTCTTCTTGTCCCTGTCCTCAATCATCACCATGTTTCCATCACAAACTCAAATTCAATTCAATTCAATTCAATATTTGTATACCACCAAATCACAGCAGATGTCATCTCAGGACATTTTACATAGTAAGGGCTAGACCTTGCTATTATTATTATTATTGTTGTTATTACAAAGAAAAACAAATCCTCCTTGTGCAAGCAAACTTCCTGTTGTGCTTCTACTCATCCGGTTCATGGGCTCTATACCCGAGTCGGTCTGCAGAGGGAAAATGAGCCCAGAAGGTTCTGGCCAGATCCTGGATTTGGTCGTAGCCAGCGTGTTTCCTCAGTTCCTCCACCCAGCCAAAGAAGTCAGAGGAGCTCATTGCCCAGTTAGGGACATCACGCTTCTGTCTTCCCTCTGCAAAGGAATTGAAATGGACTGAAGTGGGTTTAAATGAAATGTATCTTGTAGCACAGTTCCCAGATGCTTACATGTCTCTGCTAGCAGTTTATCTTAAATGTATCACAGGTTCCGGATCCTGACAGTCATATTAGTGTTTGTGCATGTTTTTTTTCTGAAAGATGAATATTTGTTTTCAGCTTGCACAGACTAGAGAGCGCTTTTTAACACAAGACTGGTCAGGAAGCCTGGACAATGCTTAAAGAAAAGAACACTGACAAATAAGCTGCATTTCCAACAGTGACAATACCTCAGATCCTACCTGGCATGTTTTAGCAAGAATATGAAAGTGGACAACACAACGAACCGCAACATCATTAATTAATATGAATTTCTCCTCCATAGATAGGTAAACAACGGTATATGTACTGATGAAAAGAGATGTGTAATACTCTAAACAAAGCGGGTAAGTGAGAAACCCCATATTTTAACTGGAATAGTGCAGACATAGTAACTTCTCCAGTGTCTTTCCACTGTTATTTCTTTCACCTGTGTGTCTGTTGTGTTTTAACCTGCAGAGTTCACCAAGGAGGGAAAATGGTGAGAAGCTCTGTGATGCGAAAAACTTGACAGTGTGAGACCTCGTCCTGGTCTCACATGCTCTCTCTCAGTTTGTTTTCACACTGCTTCATCATTGTCATCAGGACTCCTCTGAGAATAACCTCCTGATGAGAGATTTCAGTCTTCCACCTGAAACATGTCAGGATGATTTCTACACGTCTTCCTGTGAACTGCTCTAATGTAGCAGAAACATAATCTGACTTCACTTTATTAATGTGAACTCTCAGTGTAAACTAAAGTGTATTTGTTTTATTTTTCCCTGGATTTTGCCTCTTATGCCTCAGCCACACTGCCTAATTGCTGAAGGTTGTTGAGACTGCTCAAAAATGTTTGCTGAGGTATAAAAAAATGAAAAAATAAAAAGTAAAAATAAATCTAAAATAAATAAACAGAATAAAGAGGGTGGTCCTCATAAAACTGTGGGTCTTGTCATGGGCCATTTAACATAACAACCATGGTTCCTGTTTATAATAAGTTCCAGTTTTATTTGTTATATGCTGAGGATAATCATGGATCCATTAGGCTTGAATGTGTTGCATGGCTCCAAAACATATTCACAAACAAAAGCCAGACTCCTGCTGATGAAGCACAAACACCACAATTGTTTTTGAGCGTCACAGCTGATGAACTGTTCACTGTGACTGGTATAAAACACAATACAACGAAACACAAACATATGAATAATCTTCAACATCTGCAGTTTCATATGAGCATTAACCTCAGAATGTGTCCACATTATTAAACTCATCTGTTTCTCTCTGTTACAGCCCTTCAGAAAAAAACAGTTTTTCCAAAATGTGCAAGTAAAGCGGTTACTTGACGCATGTACCTTACTACATATCAGAGGGACAATTTGTACTTTTTCTGTACTGCATTGACCTGACAGGTGGAGCTACTGGTTACCTTTCAGATGCAGGTTTTACATTAAACCTGTTTTTAAGAAGCAAAGATTAAACCAGCGTTCTCCAGCATCCAGTTGTTGTCTTTCACATGTCTTTGTTTCATCCATTATAATGCACATTTTATAATAAAAACTGAATGGAAACAGCAAAAACATATTCTAGAAACAGTGTAAATGTGTGTAATGAGGTGTGTGCATGAATGCTGATCTGATTATCACACTGATGTGTTTCTTTGTCTTCAGGTGTTGAGTCTCACCTGCCGGAAGCAGCAGCGTCATGGGGACGCTCAGCAGGACAAAGACGCTCAGCAGCTTCTTCATGATTCAGCTGGACTGAAGACATCAGACAGACACACAGTCATTGTCATCATTCTTTGATTTCAACTTCTTCTATCTGTTTCTACTGGACTTTAAACCCATTACAGAAAAACTACACTGATTGCATCACATGTCAAACTGCTGAGTCAGCTGCAGAGTCAGCTAGTAGATAGAAAAAAATGGCTAATTTTCATTTAACAAGTGAACAAGTCATTGTTCAGGTGCAAATATAAATATGTAAATATTAAAATACTGTTCACAGTACAAACATACACCCAGTCTCATTCAGCTACTACAAACTTAAACAGTCAGCATGTTTTGGATCGTTGTTCTTCATTGTCCCATAAGATGACAATGACAGCTCCACACATATGACAGCAGTTATGTTAGATCACCAAATAAGAACCTTTAAAATGCCTGTAAATTAATTTTACTAGTTGTGCTGGAGCTTTGGTACCTGGATCTGGATCCGGATGAGGCTCTGATGTTGATGCTTCCAGCTCTGGATGTTTTTGGACGGTCAGCTGATAGCTCTTTGGTTTCTTCATGTGACTGTTTGTCCTGTTTCATTCTTCTTACACCTCCCCTCTACATGCTTGGAATGAACCCTGGCCTTCTGGCTTTCACAGAAGCTGCACAAACACATCTTTATCTGATGAAGACTTTCTCTAACGTAAACCTGCTTTGCTGCTCCTCAAAACAATTTAACAGTTGACATGATGGACATTTGTGCTGGTGTCACTGTGATCAGCAGCACTGACAAGTCTAATAACATCAGTATTTATCTATTTCATGAGCAGGATGAACTCAGAACAAATCTCTGGTTAATGCCCTGAAATGCTCTCAAGCAAAGTACTGAAAAGCTTTCACACACACTAGTACAATGTGTTGTATACACAACTGAAAAATCTCCTCTCACAGTGACATACAGTAGGAAATCATTCATATGTTATACTGAAAACCTCACATATATGTGAAAGGCTTTTACACACACGAGTGAAATGCTCTCATAAATACTAGTGAAACCTGTTACTTACACTACTTAAATTTTTTTTGCAACTTTTAGCTCCTAAAACTATTTTGTAAAACATATTTAACACCGTTATGTTCATAAGCTGTTCAAATGCTAAAGTAAACAGCAATAATGAAAGTACGTCTGAAAGTTAGCCACATAAATCTCCTTCTAAACGGTGTTCATCACAAGACGTGATTTTGAAGCACGTTTTGCCATATCGCCTACTCTGAGGTTTGATTTTTGTTAAATGTCTAAGAGATTTAGATGTGTTGTTGCAGTGGTTATAGTTTCTTTATGTTTAAAACCATAACTTATGGAGTGAGAGGGTCAGAATATTAGGAACACCTCTGAATATAATGTAGTCCAGTATAACCGCACCTTTAACTATGACCTCAATAATAAACATAATTGAATTTATACACTTATAAATATTTCACCAAAAACTGAAACATTCTGAGCCTCATAAACACAGATGTTAAGGTGGAAGTGCTGCATTGAAGTGCATGCAATTGTAGTACTGTGTTCTTCCTGAAAAGTATTGGAATTAAAAGCTCTTTTGTCATGGATCCCTGCACACCTTTGGTTTGCTATTGAATAAAACAAAGAAGCTGTGAAAACTAAGGCTCCCTGATGAAAGCAGAGCTGCAGGTAACTCCTTGATATTAAGTTCTTTGAAGAAATATCCCTGTGTTGCTGATCTCCACATAACTTCACCTCACCATAGATGTTATCAAATCCACAAAAAATAACATACAGAACATCCCATTTGCTTTCTTGGATTATGTTACTGCTTATCTTACTACTGCATTTGCAGAGTAATTCAGAGAAAAGCAACAAGACAAAGCAAACAGAACAACAAACAATCAAACACTGTGCAGGTTGATGTGGCTGGTGACTATTCCTCAGAAACATAGAGCTCCAGAGCCAGGGCTACCTGCAGAAAGGTACAGGGAGAGAGAGAGGACACACTACGGGAGAGAGGAGACACACAGTTAATGGCCTGTAATGGTGGCATATAGATGCACAGAGAGGAGAAGAACTCAGAGCATCATGGGGGGCCCCCAGGAGCCCAGGCCTATATAACTAAGAGCAGGCTCAGGGTCACCTGAGCCAGCCCCAACTATAAGCTTTATCAAAAAGGAACGTCTTAAGTCTAATCTTAAAGTTTAAAATTGAACAAAATCTTCTATCTTGACTCAAATTGAAAAACAATTTTCAAGCAAAATAACCTCTCACTGAACTATACTCCAAGGACTTTGAAAACACTCTGATGCTGTACTAAATTTATATCACTAGATGGCGGCATTTCTCTGAGGTACGAAAAGTATTAACTGCAGTACAATTCAAAGACTACAGCCACTCCATATTGTATCAAGGTGGAAATGAAGGGTAGTCTTCAGTTGACTGAAAGTTAATTTTAAAGGACATTGACAAGATATTTCCAATTGCTTTAATTGTTTGATGGCTGGAATCAGAGATAACAGGATTGGTTATATAGGCTAAACCGTAAAATCAAAGTTACAACTTTTCTAAAATAGCTTTTTTTGTGTGGAGGGCAGTAAATACAGGCTAATTGTTTAATTAATCGTTTAATAACATATAAATAAATCAAAAGCAAAAAAATCGAAAATGTAAGTGCAGTTTTTTTGTTTAAGTAATAAAGACCATCATCAATGTCTAGTAAATAAAAAAACATGAGCTCACTTATGAAAAAGTAATAGGCTATAGCCGATATACAGTATGTTCAGTAACTGCGTGCTGTCTGCTCCTTTCTCTTTGCTGTGCTCTCCTCAGCTAGACCCCCCTCCCAGCGGAGAGGAAGAGCAGAGCGAACAACAAGCTGAGGGAAGGAGGAGAGGAAACTGCATAGGTGGGTGTTTTCTCCGCCTTTACTGAGTGCTCTTACGGTGCACAGTTTATTTGCTCAGTTTTGCGCTGTTTGTCCGACCACGCCGAGTTGTTTTTATTGTCTCCGACCGCCAGTCACTTGTTCTCCGAGCTTGCGGGTCGGGGTTTGGATTGTATCAGCGCAGCAGTCGGCTCGGTTAGGCCTGAGTCCACCCCGCAAACACTTATGGACTTTGAAAACCAAGCATAACCGTCTCCAGCATAGGTAATGACCCGTTTCTTGGTGTTTTGTGCTCGGAACAGCTGGTTGGGAATTGTTGCAGGTGGAAGTAGGAGTGACTTTTAATTTGGTGAACTTGGCTGTTGTTAACGCAGCAGTATGAGGCGAGCTAATGTAGCGCAAGCTAACGGCTAACACTGGCGCATTGCATTCATTAACTTGATTAATATATAACAGAGAGTGAGACTTGGGAAAGGTTTAACACCACTTTGGCTTGCAGTTTAAACTGGTTGATATCAACACTGTTAAAACCGTGAATTAGCCACGTTATTTAGCTAACACGGCAGCTTATTATATGACTGTGATTTGTGGGTGGCTGGGATGCGTTTGACGTCATGACCTTAAGTTAGTTGTTGAGGCTTTTCGGAAAAAGTGGTATTTTAGTAGACTTTTCCGCCAGTTTTATCTGACCTGGGCGGTATGTAGGGCAGGTGAGAGTACACGGAAATGGCCGCCCCGCCCCGCCACAGATCATAAGTTGGAAGTCAAAGTCCAGCCTTTGACTGCTTATCAGGTGCCTGTTATGTATTATACCTGAAATACGCCCGCTCTCCGTGGGCTGTGGAGCTGCACGGTGCTTTCCAGGTGACTGTGCCTTTTTGCCAGTTTACTATGTTTAATGTTTCAGCAGCTGTCTTTTGAAGTGGTCTGTCAGGTAGAGGGAGACGGGGTTTGTGGTGGAGGTGGAAGCAGAGAGGAACAAAAGCAGGAACCAGTTGTGTTGGTCTGGGACGTGTGGGGTGTGGTAAAGTGGCAGGAGTGTTTGTTGCCTCATTATTAAGTCCCTTGTGTAGTCTTGCAACACAGACACCTTCTCAGCTTACCCTTCTCGAGTGTCAACGGATGCCTGATCACTTTGAGAGACCAGGCTGTGTCTGCTTTAGTAGATCACCTTCGGAGGAAGCTTGTTGCTTGCAGCTTGTAGTCACTGTCTTCTGTAGTTTCTATGTTACCTTACAAATCATTGCACAGTAACAGCATACAGACCAACCTGAGAGGCATTTGACAGCTTGTCTAAAGTAACATTTGTTGATAGTGGGTTGATACGGTCAGCTGATTGGTGAGCTTCAGTACAGCATAGACATGCCTAGCATATTCCTGTAATTACCTTGCAGGCATGTCTGCTTTGACCTGTTGGAACAGAGACAGAGGAGATTGTGAGCAAGTCTGGACAAGCTGTTTATTCACAGTTGTCCCTTCTGTAAGGTGTTAAAAGAAGGGGCGATCACAAGTTGGACATTTCTTTGGCTGTGTAGAATTTGTTCCATAGCTGTGTTGTTTGTGGGGGCTGAAGTCTTGCTGCTCCGCTAGTTGCTTTAACCAGGACTATCATTTATGGGCCTCTGTAATGACAGGCTTTCGGGACACACCACGGGTGTGTCCCTCTCCACACAGAAGCTGGGGTTTTCTTCTATTTGCTCCTCCTCCCTGTCTCGTCTCTCTCTGTTGTTCTCTTTCTCTTTCTCTCTCTGCTTCCAATGGCTACACCTGTAATGTTTTTATATGAAAAGTGAGCACACTGCTCATGCAAGTGAGGGCGGGATAATATGCTCCATGAAATCAAAGTGCAAAGTTTTGTAAAGCTGAAGCAAAATTGTGGCACAGAACCCGCTCTCAGTGCCGGTGGTTAACTTCTTGGAATGGTTGAGGCTCCATTTGCACTTTTATGGTCCTCACTGCTGCAATTTAACCAACTTCTTTGTCAAGTGGTGGCCACATTCTGTTAGCATTTCACCAGTAGTCAGTCTTTCCTGGCTGCTGCTGGTCATTGGGTTCCAGTTTGTTTGACCATTTTTCATAATAGTGATATTATTTTTAAGCATTTTACATATATTGAAATGTTTTGTCACTGAATTTCTGTTTTGTGATTTAACATCTCGTTTATTGATTAAGTGGAGACAAGGACACAGTAGCTATTTGGCTAGATGTCTTTGTTGACTTAAATATGGTTATCTTATAGCTGAGTGACAATTAGTTTGACTTTCAGTGGTACTCATGATGTAATGTGTTATTGTTTTGACAAAGTTTTGTGGTTCAAATGAATTTTTGTAACCATTTAACTATAAACCAAGAAAACTTTTTCTTTAAATTGTCTTTGTGGGCTGTAGTTCACTGCATTAGACTGATTAATAATCAATTTGATTGTTTTTCATTAATTTTTGTTCCATTTGTCATGTTTTGATATATAGATATTGAAAATAATGGTATTGATTTCAGCCACATTACATAGTCTTTCACTATCTTTGGCTTTGTACCTCACTAGACTATCAGTAATATGATGGTATTGGCGATGGGGACACAGTCTTCCTTAGGAAATTGTTTTGCTGTAGGGGGAAGCCGCTCAGATACTGGTGAATCTTGTCTCGTGATCACTTTAGTTAGTACTCAACATTAATCATGGTCATTAAAGCTACACAATGAACTTTTCTCAAATATATTTATTGTAGAAATATGATTCAAAACTTGTCTTAATGTGGAGAGGTGCTGTCGAAGCTGCCTGTGACCCAGACTCATTGAACGGCACTGGCAGCAGTGCAGAGATATTGGCTTCTAAAAGGTTTTGAGGGGTATAAAATCCCTAACTAATCAGAGATTTGTATTTCTGATTATTGTGTTATTCATTGTTCACTCTGCGAGGAAACAAGTGTTTTACTCACATGTGCTTTGACTTTGGATCTAATACAACTAGGAATTTCATTGATCAGTTGATCAATAGAAAACTTTAATGAAAATTGAGTTTCTTTCAGTGTCTGGGGCTTGATTTGACAAAACAAGAGACACAAAGATGCCACCTTGGGCTCTAGGACCTTGTGATCGAGATTTTTCTCAGGTTTCTTTGACACTTGATTGACTAAACATTTAATCTCAGAAATACCACAGCTTGATCAGTAATAAAAATAATAATTGGTTGAAGCTCTTATTTGATACAGTACTTCATTTGTAATGTGGATATGAAAGCCAAGAGGTATTTAATGCTCACTTTACTCAGCTAGAACTTGAATTTGGTTGTTGCTGCATTGAAGTTTTGTAGAAGACAGCACTAAAGGTTTATCATGATAAAAGGCTAGACACCCCAGTGATATCCAGCCTTGTCTCAATATTATATCCAGGTTTATCCTCAGCTCCATGTACTATAACTCACAGCCCATTTTTGGGGTCTTTTTTTTTTGCCTTCTGAAGTACATTTGCTTGCATGTTTCCTTACTCATAAGCAGTGTTGTAGTCTGGTCTGAGTCACCAAAGAATAAGTCAGTCATCAAGGTCTACATTAAACACAACTGACACAGCTCTCATTATTTTATATTCCAAACTTTCTAACAGAGTACTGCAGAAGCCACATTAGACTTTATCATTGTCCGTCGTTTTGACGGACAGGGTCATGAAAATTCTGTTGTAATTTATTATTACCCCTCAATTTAGACATTTAATAGCATTTTTCATTCATTTTTAAATAGCTAATGTATGGAACAAGCTCTAATGTGCAGCCACTTTTCATGTCAACACCATAAAGCAGATCCAACTTCTGATTCTGAATGCAGCCAATGTTCAAGCCTGAGTCATCAGTGCTCAAGCCTGAATCGAGTCATGAGTCCTGAAAATCTGGATTCGAGTACTGTAACGCTGCTCATAAGAATAGTAAGTTGGTGCCCTGTACATTAGGCAGCTGGCCTTTCAGAGGTCCATGAAAAGTCTCTGTGGGCGGGCATGTGCACTCCATCTTCTCCAGCAACCTCACTGTGCCCATACTGTAGGCCACATGGCAGAGTGGTGGTGGAGGAGGGGTTGGGTTTCATGATTCCCAGACAGGATGGTAGAGGTGGTAGTAGTTGGATGTGGGCCAAGGCAAGCACACACACAGAGGCTAAATCTCTGTGCGACCGTTCAAGTGAGGCTGAGTCAGCAGACCACAGTACCAAGCCACAACAGCAATTTACCATAACTTCAACTCAGCTGTGTATGTGTGTGTACATATCTGTCAAGTTATGTGGACAAATTTCAGTTTGAAATCATCAATGTGGGGACATTTCTTCTGGTTCTCACACCTTAATAGGGCTGTTTTGAGGTTTAAGACTTGGTTGAGGTTACGTTAAGGGCTAGGTGGGCACTTGTGATTGTTAGGGTAAGGAGCTAACGAATGCATTATGCCAGCGAGTGTCATCACAACTCTAGAAAGACCGGTGTGTGCGTGTGCCGACTGGAGCAGAGTGCATGTCAGCCTGCCCAAACCTGCACTAAGTTTCCGAGATAGCAGTGATAGCACATGAAATGCACTGCAGTCACAATACTCAGTGGGCGCTGGGTGATAAACGAGCAAACTGAGTGTGTACTTCAAAAAAAAGTTTTCACTGATTAGTGAATGCTAACAGTGTGTGTACATCTGTGTTGTGTGTTGGCTTAGGATTGTAAGTGGCTTAGCGGGGTAATACCCATTACCAGACACAGCTTTGCATTGCTGCTAATGCTTTGTCTGTAAGTGGCTAAAGCCTTTTAAAACACTCTCAAGCAACTGCATGGTGCCACAAGAATGTTAACAGTGGGACTTTGCTTTGGAGCTTGTGTGGGTCTGTTTGTGTTGCACTGAGGCACAAGTTTCTCTTATTCTATACCCATAAATAAGGGTTGACGTTTTGACAGGGCTGCCTGCTGAGAACAGCTCAGACTGGCTTATGCTGATTTATCTGATGTGTGGCGTCAGTACTTTATCGACAAGTTGAAAATCATGGTCCTTAATGTAAAACCTGACACACATATTTGTAGCCTGGTGCCACATTTAGTTACCGGTACCTTTTGGTTCTTGTTGTGTTTTGGGATTCAGCAAAGATTTGTTGGCTTGTCAAGGATTGGATTTAAGTTGTAATGCACGCTTAGCTTTACTGGAGATTATTTCAGACCATCTTTCAATTTGTGAGTAAAATCCACTAAAGAGGCAATTTGTCGGTTTGTGGTGTCCTTGATTGGGTCAGAGAAAGTACTAACTGCGCCTGCTCCCCAGGATTGACATGTTTGCTTGGAAGAAAAGGCGTTGGTGTGAGACAAATGGGAACAGCACAATGAAAGAGTGAAGGGCTCCCTTATTAGAACAGCTTCCAACAGCTGGGGCAGGATATGACATGCTAAATCTCACAGTGGAATGTACGAGTGTGTGTGTGTGTGTGTGTGTGTGTGTGTGTGTGTGTGTGTGTGTGTGTGTGTGTTTTTTTTTTAGTCTGTACTGATGCTGGCAGCCCCGCTGACCACAAAGCATAACTATAAGATTTATCAAAAAGCTTGACCACAAGACATGGTCCTAATTTAATTTACACACTGATGCACAAAAACAAGTCCTGTCATCTCTGTCCCTGCTGTGGAGCACACACCCCACCAATTCAAAACACCTCAGGATTTTGCAGATTGTCTTGTAACTTGCAGGTGTATTACTGTTTCTTTAATGTCTCTGAATGCTCTCACACTCATCTCCCTCTTCCCCACTTTCTCCGTATCCTTGAAGTGAAGTGTTAACAAGCTCCACACACTGCTGCTGAAAACATGCTGTGTTCACATATCACACTTTCTTTCTATTTTTACTGTGTAGCAGAAGGTGAAGAAATGGACTGAAAAAGTAACGTTAGTTTGGTCCCACCCCTGCCCTTCTGATGCTCATCCCATTTTGAATTTGAACTGTGTAATCACCTTTTTAGATTAATTCTCAAGCAGTGAGTGCTCTCTCTCTCTATGCCTGCTGTTTGTCCTCGCTCTTGTTTTGTCTGTACTTTTGTATCTGGACTTGCTTCTTTATATCTCTCTCTTCCCTCATTTATCTTCCTTTAACGTATCCTTCCTGCGTCAGCTCCTACAGCTTCATTAACACTTCTTTTGTGTGTGCAAATGTGCACTGTGCCAGGGCTTAAAAAAAAAAAAGTATGTATTTTTGGGTGATTTTCTCTATGCTGTGGTGATGTTGGTTAAATCACTTTTTGCTCTCTGGTGTTGACCCTGCCCTATGCTCTGCTCTCAGCGTGTGAATGGAGCAGTGTGCAAGCACAGCCTCCCTGCTGGCCTCGGTGCGGGAGCAGGAGAGGCAGTTTGAGATGCTGAGCCGAGCTCTGGAGGAGGAGCGGAGGTCGTGCGCTGGCACCCTGCCCCGCCCCCTCCCCAACATGCAGGTAACACGGAACAGACCCTGCCCCGTTGAACCCACCCTCATGTACATTTTTTGTAGTTTCACCTTTGAGTCGAGTTAATCCAACGTCATCTCCATGGTCACCCCCATCCCATCTGTATGGACTGGCTGACTGCAGACCCTAAACCAGACCTGGGGAAAAATACCTCCTCTGTAGGTTTCAGTCAGGCTCCACTTGTGTTTAAGTGTAGCTCTTTTTTTTTTTTCATTTATTTAAAAGTTGAGTCAAATAAAGCTAGTGAAGCCTTCCTGAGGAGGTAATTTACACCCTTTCTTGCTCCTCGCAGCTTTAATCATACATTTTCCATCTACAATCGGTTTCTCAGAAATCATCTCATTCAAAAGAAGTCTTCCCATCATCACTTGTATCCCTCCACCAAGCAAGCTTAATAACCCACTGCAACGCATCATGCTTGTATTGATTTGTCTGTTTGCATGCAGAGAGATGTCTTTGATGTTTTGCTGTTTTCCTGGACTATTAAGTGTTTACTCCAGTAGCTACAGTATGTCAACCATCTACTTCCTTTGGTTTAATTCATTTCTTGTGTAAGGAAAATGTCTGTCAGTTGGTTTTTCAGTATGGCGACTGTCCAGACCTACCCGTTTCATCAGCTGGTAGAGCTCTTGATTTCTGAGTCAGTTTCATAATGAAAGTTGTTTGCATACACACCCTCTTTATCATGTATGAGGCAGGTACCTGTTTCAGAGTGACCTCATGCTCAGAGATATCCTCTCAGACAGATATGCAGGTGTACACGCCCATGCTCGCTCATTCTTTTTCTTCCTTATTTACACACAGCCATTAGTGTGCATGAATGGCCATACACAATTTGTACAGCACACTCTTGTGGCTCTGAGGCAACCTGTTGAAACTCAGTCTAATAAACAGCCAGACTCTCCCACTCATTCACTCTCCTGCTGTTGTTTGTTACTGTTGTATGGAGGCTGACATTCACTGGAGCATGTCGCATAAAAAGCACAAATATAGGTGGAAGCAGGTTATTGTGAGAACAGGAGAGAAATGTGGCTTGTGCTACTTCTTATCTCTTTGCTGTGTGTTCACATAGCCCTAAGGCTTCGGCATGCCTCTGTCACTCTCCCAGGCAGCCAACACAACCTCTGTTTTCCCTGACAAGTTCCCACATGCTCACATCTGCCTGGCTCTTTCTACTGTTTTCTCTAGCTGAACCCTAGCCTATACTAAAGACTGTGTTCATTTACTTAATCTGCATCTTAGTTATTTGATCTGGGCTCAGTGTCTCTTTTAAAAAGTTGCCTTTGCTCCTCCTGCAAGAACTATTTCCATTTGGTGCTAGATGATTTGTTTGTGTTTAATGTGAAAATACAACCTTTCTGGCAGTAATGGGACAACTGTATGTTTTTGGTTTAAACCCCCCCCCCCCCCAATATATGCCCTTAAGCAGCGGAGATGATGTCAGTAGAGAAGCACGGACTGCCACCTGTGGCTGGAATGGGAAGTGCACCACACCCATCACTGCTCCCCACAGGCAGTGCTATTGGTGCTGGCACATGACAGGCATAAAGACATATCTTTTGTTTCTCTCACTCTGCTTGTCATTGTGATTCATTGCTTGTTGCACACTAATTTACTTCATCTGTTTATTCCATCAACACAGTTCATAAGTGTGTTGCACTGTTTGTTTGCTTGAGGGAGCGCTTACATGAAAGGCTGTTGGTATTCTTGTTCCTGATGTTTAGATACATGTGGAGTTTTTGTAGTGTTATTGTCATAGTCTGTGCAGACTTTCTTGCCAGACTGTACAGATTGTTCACCACAAACCAAAGTGGTCAGCTGTTGGTTGCTTTTATTTGGTTTTTAACAATAGCACACTTGTTTTCTTTCCGGTTGGGCTGCCATTAGCTAGATGCATCCCTATAATGCAGTGTAAAAACAAAAAAAGCTAAAGGCTTTTTTTTGTTTTGGCAGCAGAGATGTAAAGTGCCTGAGCTTCACAAGATAAAGCTGTGTGCCATTAAAATTCAAATGAAAGTTGAAGGAAGTTGCTTCTTTCACTTTTTTTTTGTGCTGTACATGAGCAGTTGTCACTGGTTAGAAAAACATCAGCTGCTTTGTGGTGTGATGCATGTGTTATATTCTAAGCAGTCTGTGTGTGTTGGATTCCCTCATGTGTTTGTGTAGAACAGCCGCCTTCCTTGTGATGCAGACATAGAGAGGCTGACACTGAACGAGGGTTACATCAACGGGACACATCATGTAGGTGTCTTTCAGAACCCCTCTGTTTCACCTGATTCACTTTTAACAGGTATAATCCTAACCATTCCTTAAATTTTAGTTTTAAATGTTCAAACATTTGTCTGTAGTTCAGGATGGAGCCTGGTCAGATGGTGCATGAGACGTACACGGTGGAGGAAGCACCACAGGAGACCCCACCCATAATTTCTGTGGAGACTAGCGACGATGGGACCACACGGCGCACAGAAACCACGGTAACATGACGTCCAAACAGAAATAATTGTTGCAAAGTGTGCAGTTGGCAGCTCTCCTCCAGGTGAAAGAATGACATCCTGGCAAGTAAACAAACAATCAAAAAAAGTTGGTCTTGTATCATTATGCACCTGTTATGATTTATTAGGGATTTTCTCTTTTGATTCTGTCTTTGTAACAGAGATTTTCATTCTTGTAAATGTTATTGTCAAGTACTAATTTCTTGTCTGCTTCCTCCCTTTGGCTGTTTAAGGTAAAGAAAGTGGTAAAGACCACCACCACTCGCACAGTCATCCCCTCTGTGTCAGACACACTTTCCCTGGATGGTGGGGGTTCAGTGACAGGTGTGCCGGGCTACACTACACCCATAGACCGGGTCTATAGGCAGGGACCTGGAGGAGGCGTGCCCATGGACTACCCTACCCACACTGTCCCCCGCAATTACCAGTATGGACCTCCGGGGGGGTATGAGGACTACCGTACTGCACCCCCATCTGATGCCTACACAAGCCTTAGCAGGGGTGCTCGCATGGACGATCACTACAGGTACAATAAAACTATTTTTGGCCAGTGTTCTCTACTGGATATTCCCAGTCTCTTTTTCAACCCCTTTCTCCTTGCCCTCTCCAGACCAGTCCATCCAGATGGCTACAGAACTCTGGATCCAGGCTACAGAGCCCCTAACAGGAACCAGCTAGACCCCTATGCTGCTCAGCCACAGGTGTGTTCCGCATTCACTGCATCACCTACTTTAGTGCTTTTGTTTTACCATGGCCTGTTACTTCAGGATTTACTTGCTAAACATATTAATTTTTCCATACTACATATTATGAAGTGAATAGGATTTTAATAAGATGCTATTTATGTTTAATATTAGTCAAACCATTGTCCAAACTCTGCAGCAGAGAGAAAAGTGTAGAGAGAAGCAAGTTCACATTTTTGTGTTGTCCTGTGTGCTCCCATGTTGCTGTCTGTCTGGTTCTCTGTTTATCTGAATATGGCAGAGAGGGTATGTAGGCCACAGTGTTCTACACACAAGGACATTCCGTCATGTCTACGTTCTTGGATAGCAAAATTATAAGTGGGAGTGCTCAGACCCTGTTGTGAAAGTTTTATAATTAAACCACAAAAAAGACATGTTGTGTTCTTGACTTTATTCTATTGTATTGTCTTTGAGCAGGTTGGCCGCCTGGGAAGTGCCATGGAGCTGTCCTCCATACCAAGGTTTATCCCAGATCCATACGGCCTGGAGGATGATCAGCGTAGCATTGGCTACGATGAGCCTGACTATGGCATGGGACATTCGATGCATTATAGCACTGTGCCCCGCAATCCTCAAGCCTTCCCTCGTGGTCCTCCACGCAGGACTGGGTATGTTGTGTGTTTTTGTACTAACTCCAGTTTGAGTAATGTTTAGATGTATGTAGAGTCTGTGCACCATCATTGAGTGTGCAGAATGTAATGGTTCTTTTCTACTGTCTTCAGGAGTTACGAGGGCACCTTGGATGGTGACATGAGTGGTCCAGGGGACATGTATTATTGGGGAGGAGCACCTCTGGCCCAGGGTGAAAGAGGTAGCATGGCCTCATTGGACGGCACTCTGAGGAAAGGTCCTGGCCCGGGTGGCTGGCGTCAGCCAGAGCTGCCAGAGGTCGTTGCCATGCTCAACTACAAGCTGGACCCTGTCAGGAGCAATGCAGCAGCATACCTGCAGCATCTCACATTTAAGAATGATAAAGTAAGAGATGCATATATTGTGGTATAAAGCTTTTATGGAGTGTGACTTTGAGTATAGTAGACTTCAGTAGATTATAACATTTATTGAGTGAAAGCAGTTATGAGGGGCACAAGGGTGAGAAAGCCAAAACGGCCAAGACCAGAGACATTAGCTTACTATATTTTTTCTGAGAGTAAATGAGGCATTGATAAAATATATATATTAAAAAAAAGCTAGACAGTTCTCCCAAAAAAGAAGTAAGATGTAGTCAGGTGGATGTGTCAAAACTTTGATGCAGCTAGTAGACAGTGGAGAATCTTTTTGTTGTTGTTTAGAAAAATGCTTTGAGTCTATCAATTAGTGAGAGCAACTTTTTAATGGCAGATTTTGCATACGAGTCTTTGTTGCTGTTTACATATATGTCAGTGCACATTATGTGTTTTCTAGGGCTAGAACGTAAATGTCTAGCTAGGTTTTTCAGTAACAGTAATTATACTGCAAAAGGTTGTGCATTGGCAAGATAAAGTAAGTGAAACCTTTGCAAAGACCTGGCTGGTATAGACAAACTAAGCTAATAAGACACAGTTGTGGTCTCTTTACTGAACACACTAACATTCGCTGCTGGTGGAAAAAGTAAATGAACCCTTGGATTTAATAACTGGCCAACTTTGACAGCAGTAGCCTCAAACAAGTGCTTCTGGTAGCTGTGGATCAGACCTGCTGTACTCTGTCCTTTTATTCCTTGTTTGTAGATCATTTCATCTTTTACTGTTTTATAGCTTGATGTTGACATAATTATGTTCGGATGAGCTGTTTTAAAAAGTAAGCTATTTTGCCTTCCAGGTGAAGACTGATGTGCGTCGTATGAAAGGCATCCCAGCGCTGGTTTCTATGCTTGACAATCCAAACAAAGAGGTCAGTGTACTGTCTTTTCCCTATGGCTTACTGGCCATCTCACTTTTGTAGATGTTTGTTATAATTGGACCAGGTGAGGTAAAAGTAGGGCTTAAAGGCCTCATATAACAGTGAGACAATTCATTGGCCTGAATCAAGCTCTAAGGACAAGGTGACCTTGACACTCCCCCTGTTTCTGCCGAATGAGAAACAGAAATAAGGACTACATATTTGACTTCTCTTGGAGAAATCCTGCATGTCAACATTTGTGTTAAATATGGTTTTGGCCTAAACGTTCTTTGTTTTTTTTTTTTAAATTATCTTTGATTTAGCACAAGCTGTGGCATAATTGTACTGATGTTTGTGTAGGCATTACCAGACAAACCACATCATGCATTCCACTCTCAAGGCGCGGCAGAATCTTAGTCTTACATTTCATGCTGTACAGCCAGTGACAGTCTGGTGCATGTTGAAGGACTTGCTGGCTGAAGAAATGGGTCAGACAGTGACTTCCTTTTTTTTTTTTTTTTTTTCTTTTTGTAAACTGGCTTTTTGTGTGTGTAAAGCCAAGATACAAAATAGGACAAAATGTGGTATTATCAAAGATGCTGAACAAATTTAAAAGGCACATAATACAGTTATTTGTAGAAGTGTATCAGAATGTGGCACAGGATATTGATTAAAGGATGTTCATGAACTTACGGATGAAAATTATCCTTTTGACTAAATTTGACACCTTTGCATCTCTTGATAATCGGTGTGATTGGTCAGTTAAACTAATACGTGAACATTGCTTTATAATGAAATTGTGTAACACATGGACAGCTAATTTGCCATTAATTATAGGCAGTTACTTGCATGAGTAGTCCAGCCGAGGCCCATTTAATTTGCATAGCACTTAACAGTCACAAGGGTGACACTGTTTTCTACGACTCCAGTAAATCCATGTATGTGAAACCAGTGCTTTCTTTAATAAGTGATCCTTAGTTAGGACTAATAGCTCATGAAGCTGGCATTGCATCTGTTATAGGTTCATTACGCAGCTTGTGGGGCACTAAAGAACATCTCGTATAGCAAAGATCTTGACAACAAGATTGCCATCAAGAACTGTGATGGAGTACCTGCTCTGGTCAGGCTGCTGAGGAAGACCCACAACCAGGACCTCACGGACAATATCACAGGTTAGAGATGCAAACACACAATCGTAGGAAACATTTAAACCTACATTGGCAAGAAAGGAAAAAAGAATTCAGCATAAAACAGCAACCAAATAACGACAACAACAAAGTTTGGTGCGTTCATTCATTCTTTTCCCATCATGCACTTCTTTTGATCTGTTTGCAGCTTAGTGTCGATTTTTCTCATTTCACCTAGAGTTGTACTTTTTGTAAGCTCAAGATGTGTCAGCTTTTCCATTAAGAAGATTTCAATAATTTATAGCTTTTCGGTACAAACATATTCATTTACTACAATGACGCATAAAGAAGAGCAGCAAATGTAATGATCTGAAGTTTCGTAGCAGCCATACACAGACTTCCCACAAGCTTAATTCAAATTGACAGAGCTGGCATTCCCCACAAATCAGGAAGTATGACTGTCCATGACAGAACCATCTACCAACCTATTAGTGTAATAATTTTGTTCTATTTGATTTTTACAGGCCAAGATTTAAAATGACAGTCAAGAGTGGAAGCAGACTCTAAATCTGGCATTTTCCCAGCTTTTTAATTCTGTGCTTTTCCCACAGGGACACTTTGGAACCTGTCGTCTCATGACTCTGTGAAGATGGAGATCGTGGACAATGCGCTGCACGCTCTCTGCGATGAAGTGATGGTACCCCGTTCAGGCTGGGAGCGAGGGAGCAACGGAGCAGGAGGAGGGGAGGAGAACTGCAAGCCCAGACATCTTGAATGGGAGACGGCCCTCACTAACACAGCAGGCTGCCTGAGGTAGATCAGAGCTGTGTGACTGCTACTAATTATTTGCAGATGGAGGGAGGGAGGGAGGGAGGGAGTGTTTTTGTAGAATGGAGAGGAAAGTGGAAAGATGGTAGTTTAATAGACTGGCAGAGCAGTAGGCTGTATGAAGGAGGAAAGGACCAATGACGAGTTAACACAGCTGATGCTTTTTACCCCACAGATGATCAGTGATGGTGCAATCAGAATATGAATGCCTAATGTGTCCTTCCCAGTCAGAATACACTGGCCCATTCTGCAAGAAATTATATTGTACTTAAACATTTCATAATAATTTCTAATGTGTTGTAAATGCTGGATAAGACAATTAGCACAAAAAACACCATGCAGGTCAGTTGTAATGGAATGATCCATCACTTTATTGTCCACATCAGAAGCCTTTCCCTCATCAGTCACAATATAAACAGGATGTCTCATTTCATTTTATATAGAGCTCATTAAAACACTGTGGAGTTAAATGTCAGTTATTTATCCAAGTACATTTCTGGCTGAATTGGAAAGGTCCTCATGATATGACAGGGTCAAGAAAAGAATTTGTGAGTTTACTTGGGGGAGGCAAGCAGAGGACAATGGGCCATCGACTTATGCAGTGTAAACAGTATGTTCTAGTCTCCAGGTTTGTTATCTATGCAGTTCCCTTGACCACATGGTTAAATACAGTGTTCACTTCCGGCTGTGGGAAAGTATGTGTGTATAATTTGTTGGTCTGGAGACCTAAAGTTTGGTATGTGCAGAAATGGTCTGGACAGTATCAGTTCACCTCATGACACTGGAGTTGCACTGACAGTTTATTGCCACAATATCACTGATACATTCAGTCAACAGTTTGCAAAAGATTCACTACCATGAAAGTTACATTTTCTAAATCATTCGGCTCAGTGTAGATGCAGACTGAGTAAACATCTGCTTTGAGTCACACCTTCACAGACCAGAGGGAAAGCTTGCTTGACGGGTTTTTAATTAGTTGATTGCAACATAAATTTAAAGTCAAAGCCGTACGTAGTGTATCTGCAAGTGCCTCATTTAACTTCAGTCTAACTCTTATTATTCCCTCTGCTATGAAGGAACTGTGTTCAACCCGTGTCTCCTAACCCTCTGTCGCATGGCCAGCATTATTCATGTTTTTCAATTACACAGTCTGTCGCATGGCCAGCATTATTCATGTAACACTGCATGTCAAAAACATTCACGACATCTGTAAGGTTCTAGATTGACTGTTGTAGAATGTACAGCTTATGGGTCTGTACTTTGTATGCGATGTATGTTTGCAGTCTGAGGTAGAATGGTTTTAGGTATCATCTAAAATTATATATAAACTTTGCCTGCCCAGCTGGTCTGTTACTGCTCCATATCAAAAGTTAGTGAAGTGGCAAAAATTCTAACACTGATTAATCAGTGTCTGTCTGGTTGCAGTGCTCACTCTGTGTGGTTCTTTACCCTCCTGCACACAGATTTACTGCCAGTGATCAGACTTGACACTTGACTTGTATAAATGTAGAAACTTTAGAGAACTGGGACCCTCTGTGTTTGTTGGCCTGATCGGACTTAGTCTCTTCTTTTACATTATAAATGTTGGCCTGCTGCAGTGTGTAAATCAACTTCCTGAGCTATTCAGTGAGTGAAATCAGTGCCCCCTGCTGCAGAGAGGAATGTGTCCTGTTATTGTGCAAGAGGGAGTGTCTGTCACCAGGAAAACAGGCTAGCACAAAAGCCCAAGGCTGAATATATTCCAGAGTTTTCTCCTTCATGTTCCTTCCTTTACGTTACTGAAGGACAAACTAACTGGTGCCTCAGTTTTCCATCCATTCACTTATGTTAGATCTCTAAGTTGGGACTGAGTCAAAGAGCACTTGATGAAGTTGGTCCACAGCTGTAACTTGATCTCATCCAACTGTACTCTGTAGACAAGTTGATTTAACAGCACTTTCATTCAAACAACTCTTGGGGGGTGTGTTAAAGCATTGTGCACTGGAATCCTTTTGTAGTGACTCCTTTCCTTTCCTTTTTAACCTATTAACTGCCTCTGCAGCCATTCACACTGCTAATCCTTATTTGGTTTTATATTATTGTTTCTCCTCTTCTCAACTTTCCACTTGTCTAAAGAAATGTGAGTTCTGAGCGAAGGGAGGCCAGGAGGAAGCTGAGGGAGTGCACAGGACTGGTCGATTCCCTCATGTACATCGTCCAATCCCAGATTGACTGTAAAGATGTTGACAATAAGGTATGTGGAACTCTGAGTTGACCCTCAGAGTGTGGGATTAACGAAATTGACCTGATGAGTAGTAGTACTAGAAAAGAGTGCAATGTTCAGAGTTGTTTTAGCTTGATGCAGGATTTAAAAGAATAAATAAAACAAGGCCACCTGTAATGACTTGGGTAGGTGACTTGATGGGTGTACAGTGAGTATCTCAACTTGTTGAGGCTTGGAATTTTATTCATTCTGTGCTTTCCCCCTCATATTTTACAAACATATTTTACACTCTCCTGTTCTTCCATCTTTGCAGTTGATAGAGAACAGCGTGTGTCTGCTGAGAAACCTGTCCTATCAGGTGCACCGTGAAATCCCCGGCTGTGAGCGCTACCAGGAGGCCGTGGCTATCAACCAGGGCCCCGCCTCCTCCAGTCAGAAGGGCAGTTGCTTCAGCTCCCGCAAGGGCAAAGGTCTGTGCCAAAGAGACAGATGTACTGTGTTTGTTCACACAGTAGGAGGCAGGTTGTTTCACTAGATGAAACTATGGTGAAACTAGTAAAGGTGATACTGATGTGCATACACAATTGTACAAACAAAATCACTCACTGACAGAGGAATGTTAACTATTTCCCCAACTGAGAGAGGCTGCTCTGTTTGTTTCACTCAAGCGTATTGATTTATTTTTTTCTCAACTGCCCCATTTCTACTGTTGTTGCCTTTTGCTAATGCTGTTATCAAATTATTTCATGGTGATAATGAATGGTTGTCAACATTCTTATTAAATCGGATACAGTTCACTGGGTATCAGCTTTGAGGCTAAATAAAAGCTCTTTCTGTGTATTTCATTATTATCACATGTGTTGCACAGAGATGCATCACAGCAACATATCTTCATACTGTACAGAGCAGATAGGATGTGCGAATATGAGATTACATGAGCTGATGTGTCTTTGGACTCTTGATTTGACCTTTTGTATCTGGCATCTCGCATTGCTGATTCTGTGTGGGGGCAGCAGTGGCGTTGGGATGTAATCACATGTTAACTGGGTGGCTCAGGTGTGGCTGTTTTCCTCTTACAGTACGTGCTCTCTCTTCCTCCCTTTTTCCTCTCCTCCCTCCTTTCCATTCTTCTCTGCCCTTCTTACACTGGACTACAGATGAGTGGTTTTCCAAAGGTAAGCTCTTTACCTGTGCATGTCTGCACTTTGCTTTCTGTTGCCATTTGTCTTGGTGTCAGCAGTACTAGAGTAGCTGTAGTTGAACTAACCGGTTGAAATACTTTGTGCTAACATGCATGCCTTCTCACAGTGAGTTATTAGAGTTGTAGTGAAAACATAGTCAAAGTAGGGGATGTAAATCTCAGTCTGTGCATTTGTCCTTCACAGCACATATCCAATCAAACTAAACTTCTAACAGTAGAGAGTTCTCTAGATCATATGTAGATTTTGTGTGTTTCTAATGCAGCAGTGATGATGTTTTCTTCCAGGTAAGAAAGAAGACGATGCAGCTGCAGACACAGTAGACATTCCAAAGAGGACCACACCTGCTAAAGGTAATGACCAGCTCAAGCTTACTTTATACTTGTTCACAACTGCGTAGCAAAGGAGTTTATGGGTAAATGTAGATTGCTAATGGTCACAGATGGCTCGATACACACACACACACACCTCTCAAATCTTATGTTGTGTTAAGATAGCATGTCTTGCATGCAACTTGGTCAAGTGGACTCGTAACTGCCTGCTAATTGGTCCACCAGCAAGCACTCTCAACTTTGAAAAGGTTGGAGTAAGTTTCTAAATTGGCATTACCCGCCTAGATGGACCACCAATTCTCAACCCAAACGGTTACGGTCTCTCCGAAAAATATCCACACTTAATAAAGTGGCATAATACCAATCCTAAAATGAAAATTATAATGGCTTAAGAGCCTGGCTCAAAATCTGACAGTTGTTTTCTGACTTTTGCTTCTGTGTTTTCTGTACTTTGTTGTTTGAGCACCCCTTAGAACATTAATGTTCAAACAAGTATAAAAGCAACAGCTGTGTGACTGTCTCCAACCGACAAACTCATACATGAAGTGACACAGAAGTATAAATCTAGCTTCAGTTATTACTTTAACAGTATGTGTTGTAATTAGAGGAAAAAATATACATTTGCTTATAGGTTTTGTTTCTCCTATCTTCTTGTTCCTCTTCTGCACTTTCTTCGTCCTCCTTTTTGATCTGTTTATTCCTGCTATCTGTACTGCCTTCCTCACACTTTCCTTTCTTCTCCTTCTGCCCTCCTTCTCTCTTTCTCTCTCGCTCTCTCTCTTCTATAGGCTATGAACTGTTGTACCAGCCAGAAGTGGTTCGCATCTACACCTCTCTGCTAAAGGAATCCAAGAACCCCATTGTGCTGGAAGCCTCAGCTGGAGCTATTCAGAACCTGTGTGCTGGCCACTGGACTGTAAGAACCGCTATCCATTTTGATCTTCTTTCATTCTGCAGCACCATCATTCCAATGGACTGCATCATTAATCAGTGGTCCCCAACCTTTTTATCATTGCGGACCGGTCAACGCTTGACAATCTTACCGCGGCCGGGGGGGTGGGGGGGTACGTAGATTGTTTATATTGTTAATATAATAATAAACATGAATCCACTGTGTTGAAATGTTTAACTCCCCATAACGCTAAATCAATGGGAGCCCTGAACTTGTTTCTCTGCAACGAGACGGTCCCATCTGGGGGTAACAGGAGACAATGACACCCGAAGTGTGTTGCTTATGTTCAGTCTACTCCGTTGTTTTGTTTTGGTTGCTGTCACTGCAGA